GAAAAAAACCGACTGTTTTGCAGTCTAACGGAAAAAATTCTTCCGGATTTGCTTTCCAAGTATTTGTTTTCCAGGGCTAATCTACTGTGATCAAGAGCCATTATGGACGTTAAATGTGATCGAAGATGATTGCTATTTTTTGGGTGTACATATAAAGGCCGTCAACTCGATGTAAGGTTTGGTGCACTTTTGGACTGTTAGCAAATTATTTTTCTCTCAAATCGCTTAGCCTTAATCCCTCAAAATAAAAGTCACATGATTGTGCTCTAAAGTGAACTAATTTGTGGAATACAAGTTTATTGTTTGATTGAAATTACAAATTTATTAACGGGAGCTTCGCTTTTAGCACTGGCTAAATCTATATATTATCTTAATTAGAGTTAGTTGTCACCTATTTAGTGGAAAACGACAAATCAGTGGTGCTGTATCTAATCGACTACCAATCACATTGCTGTGATTTTGATCCGCTACTACTGGGCACTACAGTATATAAAGGGCTGCGAGTTCTGTTCTAGACTGCAAAACAGTCGGTTTTTTTCTCAAAATCAGTAAAGAAATCGGTAACGCGTGGCGTAAGAGTCTTACGCGCGCGAAGCGCGCGAGCCTCACACGCCCGTAGGGCGTGTGAGTACGGGCGTGTGAGGCAAGAGAAAAAAAACATTTTTAGCGTCTCTCCCCAGTCTCGCTCTCTGTTTTCAGCCTCATTCCAGACCTTTTGTTTGACTGCTCGCGCGTACTTGAATACGCAAAAATACGGCTCGCGCGTACTTGAATACGCAAAAATTCGGACTGTTTTGCAGTCTAGTTCTGTTCATTCATGGTTCATTTCATTCAACTTAGCTATTGTACATGCAATACGCAAACGCTGTGATAGAGCGAAGGCTAGGCTTGAGAGTTAGTTTGTATGGTCAAATGTTGACATCCCAAATCAGAACCGAACTGGCTTCTACACATATGAATGTTGATAACGTTTGCGAACTGACTTCTACACGTTTGCGAACTGACCAGAGACGTTTGCGAACTGACCGGAGACTTTTGCGAAACGGCCGTTGGCGAAACCACAGGTGGCCCAAGCGTAATATGGGCCTGTGGTGGCGTAATATGAGAGTTTGTATGGGAAAAATAGAGTTTCAAACTTAGATGAAATAAATGAAGTAAAAGCGATAAAAGTTATCAATAAAGTGTAAATATTGTTACCTGGAGTCGTTGTCTTTGTTTTTACGAATTTTCAGCGCGATTTGAGTACTTTTACATCATCTGACCTGACAGTGTAATAATAAGAGACGCAAGGTTTACCGGAACGGATTGCAAGAAGGTGATCTTAAGGTACTACTTTGTGGATTCGGCGGCGTAAAATGTAAGTGTGTTTGTTTTTTCGCGTGAAATTTGGAGCTGATTCTGAGCAGCTTTGAAGATCGATCGAGCGATTCTGTCCTACCTTGTCTCTTATTATTACACTGTCAGGTCAGATGATGTAAAAGTACTCAAATCGCGCTGAAAATTCGTAAAAACAAAGACAACGACTCCAGGTAACAATATTTACACTTTATTGATAACTTTTATCGCTTTTACTTCATTTATTTCATCTAAGTTTGAAACTCTATTTTTCCCATACAAACTCTCATATTACGCCACCACAGGCCCATATTACGCTTGGGCCACCTGTGGCGAAACGACCGACATTCAAATGGGCTATTGGCTATGTAATGTAATGAGTTTCATTTGCAAAAAAGCTAAACTGTTTGTAGTTCCCTATTTTTGTATAAGATTGTTGAATTCTACTGCTTGTCATAACAGGCGACTTAGTTTCTTTTGCGATGAGGAGGCAGGCTTTGGAGTTTAAAGTGGTGGGGAGGAAAGTGAGAAATACTCTTACAGGAATCACTCGATTGTGGTGATCTGACGGAAAAATAGGGCACTGTGAACAGTCTAGCAAAGCCCATGCAGGCTAAGTGATAATTCTGAATTACATCATATTTTGACATGAAAATGATCCATAATCCTCATTAGTTGGGTAACATAGTATGTTACCTGTATTTCATCTTTTAAGACTCCCCGGGGGCTTATTTAGTTTTAGTGCTTCTGGTCTAAACACTTGGACCAGTAAGAGGGGCTTTACAGATTTTCATGTAAGCTTTTTAGAAATTCATAATTTTGACTAGTATGTACAAAATTTTTTGACCACTGTGAAATGGTTATAAGTGCAATAATTTACAACAAACATGCGCACAACAAAGCATTTTATGGGTCTAAAATATGTGCACACAGGACACAGTAGCAGTTTTCATGTACGACATCTTTACCAAATAACTCAAATTGCATGAGATATTAACCCATTTGCTGCTAGGAATTTGCTGAAAAACACCTTCTGAAGCTATTCAAGCTGTTTCCTGGTCATTGTATGGCTACTAAAAGCCAAAACTGGGTGAAACGCTGTTAGTAGGTTTAGCAATTCATGGCCTTCTGTTCCAGACGCAAAATATCAGCTTCCGAAGTTCAGGTATGCAACAGAAAGCAAAATTTTGATTCAAATTAAATAATAAATTAGTTTATTGAAATTCTCGCAAGGATGTTGTTGCATACAGCTATTTTGAGAAAGGTTTTCAGAAAAGTGCACGGAACAATCCTGAAAGGTCTTGGGGTGGTTTTGAGTTCACTGTTCTTTAAAGAAATTTGAAAGAATGTCACAAGAGGCCATGGACTTATGTTTGCGAGTGCTAAAGGAAAGCAACAAAAGTAGGTTCGACAGCTACAGTGTCAGGAACAGCGTGTTAAACATATTTCATATTACCTTAATATTGGGATTGTGGAATGCACATTTTTTCCAACAAACTTTCTCAAAATTATAGCTGTATACAGTACTCTTGAATATTTGGCACCTCTGGTGGACCATGGACTGGGAGCTTTGAAGTAGCGGCGTCAGTAAGCGGTATCAGTGGGCTTACACTCAAATCTGGGGCCTAAATAGGGGATCTACCTTACATGCTTAATGGCATTCTATTCTATGAAATGTACTAACAAGACTATTAGCAGCTATTAGGACAGTTATATCCCAAAAGCATGTTTTGTAAATCTCTAAGAGTCTACAACTCTGTCACCAAATTCTGTCTTGATAATCTTTTTACCGAACTGTTTAGTGTTCTGAAGCTCTTTGGGAACAACCTGATCCATTATCTCTAACATTTCCTTAAGCTCATCAGCTATCTTGCAGTCTAGAGTCAGGAAAGAAGTGGCAACCCCAAAATGTCCTATCCGACCTGTCCGCCCACACCTGTGAACATAATCTTCAATGCTGTCAGGTAAATCATAGTTAATGACATGTGCTACTTCTGGAAAATCAAGGCCCCTCGAGCCAACATCAGTGGCCACAAGGACATCCACTTTACCATCACGAAAGGCATCTATCAATTTAAAGCGATAATCTTGAGATTTTTCAGAATGAAGGCCTGATGCATGGAATTGTTCCTTCTTGAGTAACTCAGTGACATAGTCTACATTCTGTATGGATGATGCAAAGACCATAACAGGAGGAAATGGAGTGCTTCTAAGAACTTGAAGAAGTTTAGCTGGCTTTTCATAGTGATAAAGGAAAACAACATTTTGCTGTATAGTTGGTGATATCAGACCAGTTCCAGGTCCTACCTGAATTTTTATAGGATTTAGAACTGCTGATCTTGCTAGTCTTTCTAAAGATTCAGGCATGGTTGCGGTCCAGAGAAGGGTCTGTCTGGCCCTAATTGTACCAGTGGCCAGCCCGACAACCTTTCTCAACTGTTCCTCCATTCCCATACCAAGCATCTTGTCAGCTTCATCCATAACCAAGTATGACACTTTGTCGAGACTGAGAATGCCACGTTCACACAAGTCTAGTAACCTTCCAGGTGTTGCTATGACAACATCAACACCACTTTTAAGTTCCTGCATCTGATGTGAAATGGGGACACCACCACATATTCCAGCAGATTGGTATTTAAAGCTAACTGGGGTTACACTTAAAGGGGAGTAAGTTAAAGACATATCTGCTGCAAATGGATCATAGTCATGTACACTGATGGAACCAGTATTGAGTGAAGTATAAGATGAATTCATGCCCCAGTGAGTGTTATTTTCAAAGTTTCTTGTCACTGGAGCAGTGTTGTAATTCTGTAAAAGGCCAACATTACCTGATGAACCACATGTTGTGCTCATCGTTAAAAGGTTTAGTAACTCTGCAACATGATCTGACACTTGCCGCATTAGCTCTCGTGTGGGTGTCACAATAAGTGCCACCGGACCCTCTGCAGGTAAACAAGGCTTTCTTGTTTTAAGGAACATACATAATGGAAGAGAATACGCTAGTGTTTTTCCTGAACCGGTCTCTGCCAAACCAATGATGTCCCTGCCACTCATAACACAGCTCAGAGCTTGCATCTGAATTGCAGTAGGACGCGCATAACCATTATTAGCTAAGTATCGTTGAAGTTCTGGGGGTAAATTTAAATCTTGGAAACTTGTGATAGGTTTAGGGCAGTTTTCTCCTTCAATTTCAATCCCATTTTGCCATCTGATTTCATCAACCTGTTCATCTGAAAGCTGGGTAATGCTGTTTTGCTCATGATAGTAGGGTGTCATCAAGTTATCTTCCTTCTCACCTGCTTTTCGTTTTAAACTCTCTCTCAGAGGGACAAATTCTTTCTCCTCTCTTTCTGTTACATTCCCCCTCTCCATTTGAAAGAAAAATCAAAAATGAAATCAAAAGAGCGTGCGAGGTGCGGCGGTTTTGAGTGAAAAAAGTATCTTCTTTCGTGAATACTCTAATTACCATATATAAAGTACCTATCCAATGTTCAGAATTATACCGCTGCATCGAAGGCTCAGTTATAAAAGGAAAGATCGGGGGAAAAGTAAAAGCTCGGGAAAATCGCGAAAAGTTCGCCAGAAAATGGTTCAAAGTCTAAGGAAGCCAGTCTAGTGTTTAAAGCTATCTTTGATTTCACATCTTACGCCTTTTTTCATACAAGATGCAAATTTTCTATGTTAGTGGGTCTATTCTTTTCCTGGCGGCGCTTTGGCAAGTCGGATTTCTTCAAAGCCTGTTCTCCACCTTGTGGAACTGTTTTGTAGCAGTATTAGGGATTTTTTCTGGAGTTATGCTTTACCTCCTTTCAGGAAAACAGAGGATTCCACCGACACCAAAACCATCAAAGAAAGTTGAAACTGTAAGTCGTTTTCTCGCGAAGTTGACTCGAACTCAAACTCACAAGCCTTACATGCAAAGGGTGGTAGTTTCGCGGACCGTTGACAAAACCATTCAAGAGGTTTTTGATTTGTTTATCCGAGATTTTTGCCTGTCCTGGTTTCGTGATTTAGGAAAAGACGAAGCAGCTTTCGTTGATCTCTTAACCGAGGAGCTGTGGGTTGTAACAGCAAATGTTGTGGAAAGACTCAGGTGTGTTGACAAGGTGAAATTTCTGTCTAGTGATGTGGTTGAAATTCTGAGCCGACACTTTCAGCAGCTTCGTCTTGCGGATATGCGGACCTTCTCAGATAATGCACTGCCTTTTGTGCTTCATCCCTGCCTGAAGAGCAGGGCTGAAGAACTTGATTACTTACGAAAGGCCTCAGAAGTGTTGCTCTATTGTCTTCTTCCTCCCAAGAATTCACGTTGTTCAACAATGCGGTATCTTTTACGTGAAATTTTAGCCTTTTCTGTTTTCCAGCCGCTGGCTGACATGATCTGTGATCCAGATTACATCAATCAAACACTTCTTGTACATTTGGAAGCAAAGGAAGCCCTTGCTGCCAAACATAAGCAGGGTTATGCTTATGCAGAAACATACGAAGACTTCATCAAAATGATCAACACATCAAACTCAGTAGAGGCATTGAAACAAATCAGGTATTATTGGGATCTTTACAATTACTTTTATCCTTGACTTTGCACCCAAGAGCAGGCACTTAAGGGAAATTTGAGTAGAGGTGTGACCCTGATTGATAACGTAAATTAAACTGAGTGGAGTGCAATTTATCGCATTTGTCAGAACGCATCCTAATCTGGTGTTACTGTGGCACTAAGGTAGAAATTTCTGAGCTATCATGGGCTTTTGCAAATTAGCCCCCTATTAATTTCATTAGGGGCACCTCAGCCCGGAAACTGGCCTCCTTTTGACCCAATTTTGTTTCCGTAAATGACGAATGCGGATCCATAATGGATGATTACCTCTAGTTTGTAATGGTAATTGAACTTAGTGGAGTGCAACATACACGTGGTTTTGGACGAGTATGCTGTGCGAGTTTGTTTTGAAATGACAAGTATGATTTCAGACAAAAGTTGCACAACACGAAGTTCAATAATTTACCTCTTTTTTTTACAAGCCATTTTGAAATGGCAAAATTCAGTGACTTGAAAAGATGAATCTGGGAATGCTTTTTCACTTTGTATGTGAAATAGAAATGATGTGATTTAGGACAAAAAAACAGAAATGATGTAATTTGGAAAATTAATGGTGTGATTTAGACCAGATGTGATTTAGAGCAAAAATAGTGTGATTCATGAATAAATCACACAGCTGAGAGCCAATCAGACTGCAAGGATCGACAGTGATTACCAAAACCATTCATTTGGCCACCCTGTTTATAACAAGATAACTTATTTTAGGACCATGATAAATTTTGTTTCGCATCTGGAATTACCATATTTATTTGAATAAGCGCCCAACCTCAAATTATCACCCATCCTAAAGGCAGAAAAAGTTAACAAGGGCCCAGCCTCAAATAAGTGCCCATCCCCACCCCACCTCCCTCCCACTTCCACTCAAACTCAATAAGCACCTACCCCACCCCAACCCCTTTTCCCCTGCCACCTCCAAAAAATTGAATAAGTACTAATAAGAGACTTCCCTGAAGACAAGCACCCAACTCAAATAAGCGCCCACTCTCAAGGCCCAAAAATTTAATAAGTGCCCAGGGCAGTTAATCTAATGAATACGGTAAGTGACTTTTTAAACTAAAACAAATTACCATAAAATAAGATTTATTTGAAAACAAAAAAAACTGTCTTTGGTATTACTCACTAACAAACCTCCCTATTTTTTGAAGGCTTTTGGTCTCAAAAGACACCCTGTACACCCTACATGTATGTAATGTTTGTACCCCTTGATGGTTCTTGGTATGTTTACAAGTAAAACTGCACTTCTCTGCTCCCTCCAGATATCATATTATTGCTGAAATCATGCAGGCAACCACCATTAATAATTTAAAAGGAATTGACCAGTTTGGACAAGATGACAAACAGGGAAAAGAGCTGAAGAAGGATGCTCAGTTAAGGGCTCGCAATCTTAAACGCTACATTAACCAATGCACTGTTGCCAAATCACAATGTGAGAGACGTATTAAGCTGTTGGGGGGTCCTGACTATACCAACAATGGCACTGCTGATGGTAAACAGACTGCAGTGGGACAAGAGAATGTAAAATCTGTCCAAAAATCTGCAAAGCAGAGTAAAGCTAAAGTTCTTACTTTTATAGAGGTCATGGACAACAGCTTGGCAAGAAGTTTTTTCATGCTCTTCCTTCAGAATAAAACTGGTAGCAAGAATATGCTCAGGTTTGATTATGTAATTTTAACTTAGACTTTGAGTAGTCTCATAATTTTGTTTTATTCAAAGTTAGTGGGGTTGTGATGTGTAACATGCAAGTGGTGAAGCAAGATTATAATGTGAAGAGAGAAAAACAAGAAACTGTAGTTGTTTTATGAACATGTGCACAGTTTGCAGCCCAGTGATGAAGTTTACTAATTAAATCATAATAGTTACAAATGTATGTATAGTCGTAGCCAACAGCATTGAATTATTTCACAAAGTAAGTCATAACATACAGGATTTTAATGTAGTTTTATTCTATTTGATTTTAAAATATCCTTAAAACATTGAATACTCATAGTGCCTGCAGTGGTTGAGTTTGTATTAGTGAGGTTTACAGTTAAGTCATCTAAAATTCATCTTGCCTGGAGTTATGTTGCCTGAAATTAATTGTTTAGTCATTTGAAATGCTAAGTTATACCTCCTGAAAACTTGTCGTGGTCAACAATATGATAAAAAATTGCAGCTAGATACAAAGTTGAAATAGATAAAATGTCTGAGCACTTTGAGTTAAATATGAAACTGTGAAACTCAGGTTGGTTGTTTTGTGTCATGCATTTTTTGGCTTCTGAACTGGTCCCTATCCCTCTTCCATTCCCTCAAAACTCAATTTTCACCCATAGATCCTTGATCCTGGATCCCTTAACTTTGATCCTTGATACCAAATCCTTGTTTTCCAGTAAAGGCTTTTATCTTATTGTCACTTGCAGTCACTTCCCCCCGTTTAACCAAGTTGATTTGACAATATGGTGATGCATGACTAACTCTTGAGATTTGCTTTTTTTTGTTTGTTCTATTAATGTACATTTTTCTTTTGTTTTACTGCAGTTTCTGGATGGCAGTTGAGAACCTCAAATTAGTCAAACATACTGAACTGCACAAAAGTGCTCAAGAAATCTACCAAGTGTATGTTACACCATCCTCAGACAAATCTGTCATGCTGGACACAACTCTTGTTAGGGGAATGGAACAGTATCTACAGGGAATGCATGGTTTGCAGGCATTCTTTGAAGCACAGAAAAAAGTGTTCAGTTACCTAGAGGAAAAGTTTTACCGCAAATTTGTACTGAGTGCAGAATATTCCATGTTTGTGTGCCAGTCTGAGGCAGAAATGGATGACCTGCGTGCACACAAAAGGGACGAAGAAGATTTGGAATTCAACTGGAATGATGATGCAGATACTACTGATGAAGATGTAAGCTGTATTTAGATGTTATAATATTGTTGGAAGCAGCATTTGTAAGTGGTCAAACAAGGACACTGGACTTGCAATTCAGAGTCCCAAAGTTCAAGTCCTTCCTTGACCACATTGAAGACTGACGACCTATTGTTTCTCAGCATTTTTGAGTTCAACTCTTCAACCATGCTTATATACTAGTTAGAAGTAACTCAATTGCCTCTTACAAGTACCAGTTGGAAGTCTTTTCCTTGTTATATTATTTGATTATTTTTTTTCAGTCATTTTCTCAGCTCCACTAGTCTTGCAGCGTGTATAGCTATGAGGTGGATACAGTCATAGGTAAAATAATAGTTTCAATTGACTACACTTCTTTTTCTTTATAACTGTATTTAAACCTTTGTTTATTGAAAAATTTTCAGGTTGAAGGTGATGAAAGTGACGGAACTCCCAAACTAGGTAAGTAAAAGTGTTGCTGTTATCTCTGAAACAAGCATAATATTATTGGTCTATAACCTATCTCAGCAAAAACGTACAGTTAAAATATTTTCTCTGATTTTTAATGCAAAATGATATTTTTTTGTGTCTATCCTAGCACGTAAGCCAAGCACAGTTGAAGAACGAAGTGATGCTATCGTAAAAAAGTTGGAAGTTTTAGATCAAAGACTTGCCTCAAAGGTAACATTTTATTTATTTTTGTTGGTATGGCTTAACAGTGAGAGTTACATGTACAGACATACAGTGTAGAAACACTTTATACTGTACATACTACTTCTACTTGGTAAGGGAGAGGTATAACAATGTATTTTGTAACGTAAAATGCTGATTTAATGATGAGCTTATTTATTTTAGACACAGCAACTTGAACTTGTGAAGCGAAGTTATGGAGCTGAAGTACAGGTAGTTTTTCTGATTATGAGCAAGTACTTTTAATTTATTTCAGCTTAAATTTTTATTAACTTTTTTCTTTGAATATGGTTATAAAACTGGGCAGTTTCGCTCTTGTTGATTGGTTGAGTCAGTTGGAAATGATTTGATGATGATGCAATATGTTTTTCTCTACTCTCCCACATGATTTTCCTAGAAACGTCTCCAGAAATGATGTTAAAAATTGTCTTCAGTGTATGTTATTGAAAGAAACAAACAGGCAATTATTTTCTAAAAATCTTCTCATTAAAAGTTTTTTTCTAAATAGTGAGAACTTTAAAATGGAAGTTGAACAGATGTATTTTGTGTCACATTTAATTATTACAGTACAATATATTATTGATTATCTAAAAACCCGTCTGTTAAAATTTGGTCAAATAAGTTTCAAATGGTAATGATTAATTGTAGTAAGCTGTGTGCAAGTTTATAGGAAAATCCAATGAGCAAATTTTATGTAAACTGAGCAAAAATGAAATTTTAAGGTTGTTTTCAATCATCCATGCTCCTGTGGAAACTATGAAAATGACAAATTTTACCTGTCAATCAAAATCTTTCATCAGTATAATATTTTTCACTTTCTCTTGTCACGATTTGGCAAATGACATATACAGTGGAACCCCGCCTTACGGCCACCTGACAAAAACTGCCATACATTTTCTTGTAAAAAAACCCTCGTTAATATGGCCACCCTGTTAATACCGCCAATTTTTTTGGCCCAATGGTGGCCGTATTAATGGGGTTCCACTGTACTCACAAACTGCAAAAACTGTGTTCAGCCACCTTTAACTGGTTTTTGAAATCATTAAAAAAATACCACAACTGTGCCAACCCAGTAATACACTGTATATGTTGTTGCAATTGCTTCATAAGAAACAATTTAAAGTCCGTGCAAATGCAATGCTGTCTTTCCAAGGAAGCTTCCTGCTGATGAGTGAAAGGTCTACCAAGTTGAAGGGTGGAAAAAAAATTAAGCAATTGAAAGAAGTGTGCTTGTATATATGGGGATCTACCTTGTGCCCCCATTGGTCGTCCAATATTAGTTAATACTCTTGTAAGACAACACATCTGCAAGGTTCGATTAAGACGTCCCTTGGGCCACCAGCTGTTCCAGCTCTAGGAGGCAACCAATTTCTTACAATGTACATGCATGCACTTAAAGTATGATGGCTGCATTGAATTATCCAAAGGAGCTGACTTCTTTCTATCCAAAGACTGACATTTAGATTCTTTCTTAATTTTGCCAGGAAATGGAACAGTTGAAGAGTGAAATTGAAAGATTAAAAACTGAAAGAATGCAGCTAGAGTTCCATGTTGAAAGGACAGGTACACTTTCAAACAATAAAATTAATGTTGAAAAATATCTGCAGTTTAATAAACAAAATCAATTTATTACATGTACATGTACTATGTTTATTTACTAGATCAGTGGTGCGAGAATTTGGGGAAGTGGAAGATAGAAATTCAAAGTGTAGAGGTGAAATACTGTAGTGATTGTATATAACATTATCTTTTATGTCATTAAATTGTACTTAGTCAGTCAAGGCAAAAACATTTTCTTCCGTTTCTCTAACTCTGTTCAAAAATATATATTGAGCAATTGCAGCAATTATTACCACCCACAATAATTCAATGCTGGTAACAATACATCTCAGTAATTCGTAGTTACTAAAACATGGAACGACCTAAAACCACCTAAAACCTCCTAAAACCATCTACAACCACCTAAAACCACCTACAACCACCTCAAAAAACCTACAACCATCTACAACCACCTCAAAAACATCTACAACCACTCGCAAACAATCTAAAACCATCTAAAACAAGGTATGAATGTCTGAAATAGTTTCACACAAATGTATGTTATGCCACAGAATCCTTTAGTCTAGTGTGAACATGTCTCACTTGTAGAGCCTGATTTTATACAGCTATTAACCCGTTTACAGTTGCAAGAATTAGAAAACATTATATAATGATATTTGAATATTCTTTTCAGCAAAATGAATCAAAACGTTCTTACCAGTAATGTCCCTTGGCGGGGAGGGAAGACCCGAATATGTGATCCAAATTTTTCGTTCCGTTTTAGCTCATAGAGTTCCGTCCAGCTACTCTAGCCTGTACCAGGCTCTCAGATAGTATAGTGGGGATGTATTTACATCGAGCAAAGCGAAAATAAGAAGTGCGCATATTCCTGGTCACTCCCAAGAAGAGGGCCGGGGTGAAAGTTGGGCTCCAAAACATAATAAAGGTATATAAAAATCCAGGTAAATTACTTTAAATACAATCATTCACTATTAAAATTTTTCAACCCATTTTTATTAATTTCGCCTCGTCTTAACTTGTTTTCTTCTGAATCCATTGCATTATAGATTTTTTTAAATAACATTTTTAACAATGATTACACCTACTAGTCTCCATTTCCTGTGTCGTGACGCAAGGGAGCTTAGCCTTGCGTGATGACACAGGAAACGGTTGTGAAAGACACTAGGGTTCATCTAAAGGAGTCACCTGGAATGTACAAACATGTTTGGCGGATGAGATGCTAAAAAAATTAACTCGTTGTTAGGAATGTAATCCGCCACCTTAGAACAAAACAGCAGTGAAGCAGACTCCGAGAGAGAGAGAGAAACCTTACCTTCTGCCATTGCGTAAACAAATGAAACGTGAACCAAAACGTCTCACTGGTACCCAGGGTAGAAAAAGCCAAATCAAGTCAGGTTTTCGACTATGAGTTTGTTATTTTATTTTATTATTTTTTGTGACTTGATAGTTCATTTTGTAAAGTTCTTTAAGTCTTTTAATATACTTACCATAATCTCGCATTTCATTTCGTGACTTAAGCCAATGGTTGATGATACAAGGGACCAGGGAGAGTTCGATTCTCGTATTTCATGTTCGTGACATGTTGTCGTCTCGCCTTATTTCAAACATTTATACCTTGTTTTAGATGGTTTTAGATTGTTTGCGAGTGGTTGTAGAATGATGTTTTTGAGGTGGTTGTAGATGGTTGTAGGTGGTTGTTGAATTTTTTGAGGTGGTTGTAGGTGGTTGTAGATGGTTTTAGGTGGTTTTAGGTCGTTCCATGTTTTAGTAACTACTCTCAGTAATTTCCTAGTTCTTGTGAGAAAACTAGAAAACTAACTTTTGTACAGGAGAAAATACTGTGCAGGGAACTGTCTCACCAATAGTATCAGTACAACAAAAAAGAGAAACTGCAAGGAGAGAGGTGTGTAAGGTTAAGTGTTCATCTGCATGCACATGTAACTTTTTTCTTGTTGTTGTGTATTGATGTATGTGTGAGCCAGTTCCACCACCTGACTGTCAAGTTGTGTGGTTGACAGCAAGAATACTTTGTAATCTGTGCATATTGTCCTTCAACAGCATGTTTGAAAGTAAAGACCTTTAAATACTGTAGTTAGAAATAAAAGTTGAAATCTGAGCTTTTACGTTATCATACATTGAAAGTAAAATATTGCAAAAACTAATAATGTGACCAACAAACAGGAATGTTTGTTGATCAAAGATTATGACTGTGTCACATGGCAATCTTAAAGTTGTACATGTGATTGGTTGTGTTAGTTTTTATAAGGTGTTGATAGCTATTTTTAGTAAATTATTATTTGAACCTCTTCATGAGTTGAGCACTAAGTTTAATGAGTGATTTTGTCAACAGTGGAATCCAGAAGATAGTGAAAGATCTGTTCCAGTTTATGCTATTGTGGTCCACAGTAGAGCTGATGGAAAACAAGATCAGCTGCAGCCAGGAGGGAAATCAACCGAGGGACATGCATATGTTAATTCAGAAGGATGGGTTGTCACAAGAAAGTTCAAAGATTTTGAGACGCTTCATTTAAAACTAAAAGAGGTACTTGTATGTTTATACTACTTGAGATAGACTTAATGGATAATGGTTTTCAAACTGAATTAATTGACATCTCTTATGTTTATTACAGTCAAACCAGGTCAAGCGTTCCCGTCGCTAACGAACTAATGAATTCATTCACGGAAAAATGATTTCGTTTGTTGATTCAATAATCCATTCATAAAATGAACAATCAAATAGTCATATTTAGCCTCGATTCCATAATCGCATGTTGATTCGATTACTGTTTTTTGAAAAATTACACTTTCCACAAGTTGACCTCAGAATTTTGTTTTTTCCTCTTTTTCTTTCTGAGAGTCGAGTTCTGGCGAGTTCTGAAGTTCAAACCCAAACAAACTGTTACATGTACGCCAGTTTGCTGCCAATAATCAGTGCAACAGACCTAGGCCTGACCTCTTAGAAAACACGACGGTCAAACTGAGGTCAGTGTATGTGCGGTGATTGGTGGATTTAGATCCTCGGCCTTTGTCAGTTTCTTTGCGTTTGCGGTCTGTCTATTCTAGCTGTTATTTTGATTAAAGGCAATGAAAAACGCAATCGTAAACGGCAGGAAAAGGGAAGCAAATACGATTGAACACAACAGACAAGAATAAAGAACAGGTAGATTTTGTTCATAAACCAAATCAACATTTGATTATTGAATTGAGGTACAATAATATTTGACCGTTGGATTATTCATTTTATGAATGGATTATTGAATCAACAAACAAAATCATTTTTCCATTAATGAATTCATTAGTTTGTTAGCGACGGGAACGCTTGACCTGGCTTGACTGTAAGTGCTTACATGTATAAATTATTATATAATTCATTTTACCGCTCAAAGAGCATTTCAATATCTAACTCAAGGTAAACGCTCAAAGTTGGTGAACATGTTGGACACACCATGTGTTACCTGTAAGTTCAAGTGTCTGAAGGGTATAATAGTCATTGTGGTGTTTTGAAATGATTGCCTTGTTTGTTGTGTGACTCATGATGATGTAACTTTCAGCTGCCAATGTCCCTCAACAATGAACATTTTGGCCTGATACAATGTTGCAATGAAACATACAGGAAGTTGGTTGTCATCGTCAGTTGACAGACAGTTGATCATCATCATCATCATCATCATCATCAGTACATCAAGTTACATTGACTTTGTTTAAGTGGCAATCCAAAGAAAGGCAGATCATAGTATTTATTCAGTACACAAGCAACCTCCCCCCCCCCCCCCTGCCCAGGCACGTATAGCTTGCCCACCCACCCTTCCTTCCCTCCTGCCCCGAGAAAAAAAAAAAAAACATTGTTAAGCCTCTTAGGACTAGGAGACAAAGGAAATTGAGAATAAACTTAAAGTGCAGAGTAAATCAAATATTATTTTACCTGTAGTATATTAAAGAATATTTAAATATCTTGCAGTGCTGTGCATGGCTTACTCGTGAATTGCCTGTTCCTGCAAAGAAGTGGTACAAGTCCATAGATGATGAGTTCTTAGAAAAATCAAGGAAGGCTTTGGAAGAATATCTGCAGGTACATCTATTTGCTGTGTTTTGTCTCAATAGTTAGACTTATTTGACAACAGAAATCTTGAACCACTCAGTGTGATTATCGAGCATGTCTTTCCTTGTTTTAAATCTGTCAGTTAAGCTAGAGTTGACTAGAGAATGTTAGCACAATATCATACAGAGTTTAGTATAACATTATACAACTATCCTCCAAATGGAGGTGAGATGCAAAGCATTGAGGTACATATCTAGCACTATGAACCGACCCTGAGGGGGATAGTTGTTTTAGTATTTACCAAATCAGGTGGATAAAAATCAAAAAGGAACTTTTTGTAAATAAAACACGTCACTCATTTAGAGTTTGTTTATGTTTCAATTGACGGTGTTTCAGGGATCATTTTTTATGAGTTTGTTGCAAATTCAGTGAGAGAATTTTTTTCTACCAAACATTAACCCCCAACAAGCCAAATTTTGTCTCTTTCTTGGTATTTGTTGGTACAGCTGCTTCATTTACCGCTAAAATTTCATCTTTCGAAACTGTTGCAAATGAGAAGCCATTTTGAATCCCTTACCAAAACAGTTAATATCCAAGGATATTAATTTTGGAGTTAAGGGAGCCAATCAGAATGTGCCAAAAATTGCTATCCACCGATTTGGTGAATACTAACATGGGGTATTTTTTTATTGAAGACGCTACTAGCAGATGAAAAGCTGTGCCTGAGTGAAGAATTGTACTCATTTCTCAGCCCCAGCCCTGAGCATCTCAAGAAACAAAGGTAATGGCAAATAGGACTCACCTCTCTCATTTTATGGCATCTCAGTTGTAACAGACTCAAGCACCCTGTAGACTTGGCTTCTGCTGATCATGATAGTCACGTTTTTAAGATGACACTTAGTTCCTGCAGTTAAAATGGTATCCATCTTTCACAAAGTTGACTGTTATACATGTTCAGTTTACTTGCTTCAGGAGACATGTTTCTTTATACACTCTGACTTGCTGTTAATCTCTTGAATAATGTCATCCCAAACAGGGTTTTCAGTAGCAATATTATTGGAAATGAAGCAAAAACCCCTGCCCAAAACTGTCTTCAAGTTGACAGTTTGCTTTCTGTGCACACTTGATAACATGAAGAAAAGAAGGCTGCAATGTGGTTCACTTGTAAACACCATTTTGGGCAGTTTTGGTTCTTTTTGCCCAGATAGTAACCAGAAACCTGCGCAACTACTGGTAGATTCAAAAGGTGTTTTTGGGCCAAATTTCCAACAGCCAATGGGTTAAATAAATACATTTGTTATTTACTTACTTAATTTTATCTTTGTCTTTTGTTCTAGTGAACCAACCAAGAAAGGGTTTTCACTTTTGTCAGTGTTGAAAAGGTAGCAGTGGATGTTGAACATTTTTATGCTCTTTACTCTTGACTATTAAACTGAGTTATACAAATGTGCCATTTAGTGTCATCTGTACTTTAAGTTATTTTTCCTTTTGTTCTAATGAATGATTACCCATAACAACTAAGAACCCCTGCGTGATCTTGACTTCTGACCAACAATCGCATTCATTTCAGGTTAAAATATTTAGCACAGAAGAAGCAATGATATTTAGCTGGGGGTATTTCATGGTGGGAGGAGAGGATGTTAAGTGCATTGTTCATACCTCAATCAGAAGTACACTTTATACTACTGTCTGGTTTCCAAATTCTGTAGATGAGGAAAATAACTGATTGCCTTGCCTAGGCCAGGGTAAACCCTACTTGAAAACCATGAATTACACATATAGTACTTACGAACCTGCAAAAAGAAATATTGTATTATTGTGTCTGAAAGTCTAGGATGTATAACTGGTGTCCAGAGACTGAACAACTTGAATGTTTAACACAAAAACCATCAGGGATGCGTGACACTTGACTTGCACTTTGATAGCTGATTAGGTGATATTCTGAAGAAGGGTCATAAACCTGAAATGTTTGTGCTTTTTAAAAACATTTGACACTTTTTGATATTTCGTTACCAAATACAGTCGACTCTCGCCTTGCCGATACGTCGCTATTACGGACACCCACTAATGCGGACAAGAGCCAGCTCCCGGCAAACGCATAAAGAAATGACTGAAACAAACTCCCGCTATTACGGACTCTCGCTATTACAGAAATGTGAGCACTTTCCTGCCCCCAAGCGCGACATTTCAGTTGTTTTTTTCTCCTGCTGTAGCGGACACTTGAGTGCTTTATCAGAAATGCTGACGCACATGACATAAAGAATAAAGCGACATTACAATAAAGGAAAAAATGAGACAAAGTACTATTGACCGCTTCTTTGTAAAAGAGTAAACAAATGACTGCTGTACAGCATTTTGGGGATAAAAGACATTGCTATTAGAGCTTACAAACATTTTACGTTATTTTAACACTCTACTGTAAAAGTCATTAGACAGGTTTCTGTTACTAGTATACCGTGCAGCATCTCTGTGCTAAAAGAGCTGCCAAGAACAATAAAAAACATTATATTTGACAGCGAGGTAACATGTAAGCTATTTACGTTACTGGAAGAGTTTCCGTTTGGTTTTTTAAGCTCTTTCTTATGTATCGCTTGTCATTGCAGGAACTTGGAAGTGATAATACAGCATAAATTATTTAGATCCATGTACAATCTTATTATCTTCTTTTATGGTAGCCTGAAATTCATTTGATTGCTTCGAGTCGTTTTCTCCTCTCAACAACGTCTGAATCGACCAGCCGTTAATGCCGACCAGTGACGTCACTCACTACCCGAAAACCGGGTAGTGATTTTGATTGGTTGATTGTCTAAACATTCGCAGAATTATGTATAATTATGAAAAATTTTAGCGGTATATATTGTCGCTTGATGTTCAGCGGATCGCATCCCTGGCATTCTTTCGTTTAGATCAAACATTTCGATAAGCTTAATCTTTATCTTAAACAGCAAAATTGCCCCTGTCTTCGAAACTGAAATGCTAAATTGAACTGCGAATGAAGAATAATTGCGGAGAGGTGGTAGGTTTTTCATTTAGAGCCGCTTTGTGGTTTCGGCGGCTGGTGATTTTGTTTAGGCGAAGTTTTCTGAGATCAATTTACAGTTATAATTCGAACTTCTTGCTATTTTTACCGTCAAGTGTAATGATTCTGTTAGCTTTTCTTTCTTGTCTCCTTGTTTTTTTCTTTGTTAAGGACCAAATAGCTTTGTTTCAATTAAAGAAAATCATTGTGTTTTTTAACTAAGTGTTCCATGTGTGTGTTTAATTCATTGCGTGATTGCGACCGAGTTTGAATATAGAATTTAGTACAATCGGTTCAGAGTTGTACTGCATGCAGTTGATAGTTTGAACGTTAAACATGAATTACGATCGAAAAAAATAAAGCAGTTCTGTATCATGCAGACATTTCCAAGAGATATTTCTCGGTTTGCCACTTGAAAATAGTGTTTTACTTTTTGCATGAATTAAAGCAAAGGTCAAGGAGTAGTGACGTCACTAGACGGCATTAACGGTCGGTCGATTCAGACGTTACTGAGGGAGTAATAACGACTCGAAGTAATCGGATGAAATTCAGGTTACTTTTATGGTCCATAGTTAAAAGAAGTAAAGAATTGTCGAAACTGCAATGCTTCTGGGACTTTTACATATTATTTCACAAGTTTAGATTAGGAGAAAACAATTTTTTTTTGCTCTCATACCCCGCTATTACACTCTCACTATTACAGACACTAAATCTTCCTCCTGAGGGTGTCCACAATAACGGGAGTCAACTGTATCACCTCATCAGTGACTGAACAACTTGCCTCTGTGTTAAATTGAACTTGAAGCCAAGTGGCTGTATTCCATTTTAATGTTGATTAATTTTTGTTTTTTTGTAGCTTACCTTTTGACATTATCCCTGCTGAGGAAGCAGATGAGGTAAGGGATATTGCTTGATTTGAATAAATATTATATTATTATTATTTTACCAGTTAAAAACTGTAGCTGTAAGTAAGATCTTAATAAGTGTGGTTGGTGTTAACAAAATCAATTTTTTTTAAATTTTCCTTCAAGGAAACTGGTCTTGATCAGGATGATAGGTAACTACATTGTACTAGTCGACATTGCTTTGTGTTTGACTCTGTTTCCTTCATCCTGTAATACCATATATAAATAACTATAAGCTTGACTTCTCATTTTACAGTGTGATGCGTAAAGATTCCATTGCAGAGCCCTTCTATGGCTTGGTTGGGGAAGTATTTGAGCTTAAAGGAGGTAATTAAATTCCACCTATCATTGTGCAAAGAAAGTCGTGCCTGATAGCCCAGGGCTAGTGGATTTTGCTATCGGGCTAGTGATTTTTTTGGGGGAAATTCAAATAATCAATCCTGCTAATCAAAAAGGGTTTTAGGGCTAGCTGAAATGACTTGTGGGCTAGTAAATGCTAGCTACAGCTTGCCCGAATGGCAGGCTGTAAAACTGACTTTATTTGCACCCTGGTCTATACAAGAGATACAAGAAAAAACATTTTTGGAAAACGTTTATCATAGAAGAATGATTTGCTGCAAAACATTTTATAGAAATTGAAGCATCCAATACAAAATAAAAATATACCAAAATTTCAGGTGAATAACAGAATGATAAATATAATAAAACAGCTTTGTTTTGACAAGTGTGATTATGATTTACTTAAAAACAATGTTCTTTTTTGCAAAGTAAATTATTATTATGTGGAAAATAGATGAGCACTCATGAAGGAGAGAGTGGTTGGATTTAAAAACAGGGATTTCTTTGACCAAAAGGACCAAACAAGCTTTCTTTAAGCTTGAAAAACTGGAGTCATATAAATAATTTGTAAGCTATATGTGTACTGCATAAACTTCCAGCCCTGATGTTGTACAGAACTTAGGCTGCTGGTTGCTGGTTGCAGGTTCCACTTCTTTTAGTTGGGATTAGTTTTTTTTTTCTTTTAATTAGCTCTTTTACTTGTCTGAGACAAACTTAAATATTATTTGCACACACAATAAAATTGAAGAATACATTAATTCTAAATTTATCTGTTTTAGTTTTCAAGTGGATGAGGAGAACCTTGATAGCATTTGTTCAGGTTACATTTGGAGGTACCATTAACAAGTAAGACTACTGACAGCAGCTGATCATTATACAGCAACCTTTATACTGTGGCTTATTCTTTGGAAACGGGTCATTGTGTTACCCAACATTGCAGCTGGTTGGATGGTGTTTGTGAAACCATATTGCCCTGGAATGGTCTCACTAAAAAAAAGAAAGCTTAACTCATCAACTAACAATAAAATTGACCTGATGGGTGAATCTTTTTTCACAAGGATTCATGTAATTGTTAACTATTTCAAGCCAGATCATGGTAAATGGAAGGAACTGATGAATCCTTTCCCAGGGTAAATCCGTCAGTTCCTTTGATGTGCGATGATCCTATCTGATCTTTGGATCACTGATCCTGATCCAGATCCTCCCAATGGAATGCACTCATGACAAGGATCCATGTTACACCCAGCATAATATTTGGAGAATCTGTTTGAACAGGTTCTTAGAGTCACTGACTACAGAGTTTTCTGAGAACACCAGTAACACAAGATATGATTGTCACTACCAGTGGGGTCCTGATGTCCTTCTGGATTATTATCACTCTAATGGGATGATTGTTTCCATTGTCAGAGAAATTCATCGTATGGTTGAGTGGTTGGTGTCGGAATCAATGGTGATTTACTACATTCACTTGTTTCGTGACTCCACATGGCCAGGAGGGGAACTGGCTAAGCCTGCTGCACTTCGCACTGAAGCAGTAAGCATTGACTCTGTTTATCAATAGCTCCTAGATTTTGAAATATTTATTAACAACCTCATTCCCAGGATTTTTTCCAGTACTTACAGAAAAGGGGACTGCAATCCTTTCTAAAGAGAGCAGACCATACACTGAGAAGACCTGCCAGAAAGCTAGTAGCAGCCAATTAATTGGGACTGACCAAACAGCATGAAGGCAAACTGCATTTAAAAATCGGCAATTAAAAAATATTCAAAATTCAAAAGTTAAACTGATTTGTATGGGCAACTAACAAGTAGTCGCTTTGTTTTTAGGAAAAAATTGAAAGTCGAAAAAGAGCCAAGCAAAAACTACTAAAGAACATTCCAGGTAAGCTGCGGACATGAATCAGTATTTTTATTTGGTGATAAACTTTAAGACAATCCACCTTTGAACAACCCACCCAGTGAATTTTCCTTTTTATCTTCAGAAGTCCTTCAGAATCTGGTGGGGAAGAAAAACAGTAAAGTTGGAGCTCAAAAGGTATTAATATTAATTTCAGGTTACGTGTATGAACACAGTCAAAGGGAATGGAACTTAAATGAGTCACTTTTGGGAAAATGTTATTTTCACGACCCCAACTTAATACCTTTCTGGTACTTATTTTAAACTAGGTCATGCTGAAATGAGTTGACACATTGGTTAAACTTAATGACGTAAAAATTTTCCCATTTTAAAATCCCTACCTGCCTGAATTTCCTGATCCCCAAGCCCCGAAAATGCGCAATCCCATTCTAGTAACCCTTATGAAAATGCGACCTCATTATAGTCAATCCAGTCGTGAAAATGCGACCCCATCCAGCGACACATCTCCATTAGCCTATGCTAGGACGTACCCCCCCCCCCTCCCAGGGGGGGCTTTATACTGAACTGTATTGAGGTTTTCTATTCTTTTTGTAGGTTTTTGAAGCATTTCAGGACATCAGAGTCACAAAACATCTTTTTTATGTGAGTGCCTTGTTTAGTAGGGTGGATGATAACACTAATTTTTGCTTATTAAGAAAGAGAGAGAAAGTATGGCATAACTTCGCCTCTAATTCTTAATATTTTGCACCCTCTTATAATTTCTTTCTAGAGCTAATCAGGGATCCACCTGAAAGCGCTTTACTGGCCCCCGATGGTTTCAATGGCCACGATCTTCTGAACAAACGTACCTTATTGGTACTTAAATTCGCTTTTTTGCCATTGTAAAAAAATCGCAAAATTTAAGACCAGCGAATAAAAATCCTCGCGAAATTTAAGTGCACAAAATTTAATACCCATATGGAAAATTCTAATAATTGCGGGCGACATGACTCTGGTTTCGGGTGACATAACTTTGGGCGAGATGACTTTGGGGCGAATTGACCGTAAACCCGCCTAACGGGAGGTGGCCTCTTACGAGAGTCGAACTACAGGAGGTATTTCACGAGGAGAAGCTCGGAAACATCTACTTTTTGATGAGAATCTATTGCAATTTACTATTTTTAGGTTACAATACATGTAAATCCATGTTGATTCTAAAAGTTCTTCTCATACTCCGAGAAGCGTAGTACAAACAGCGAACACAAAGATCAGACCACTGTATCAGGCCGTCGCTTCACGGATAAGGTTAAAAGCAATGGAAAATTCTAAATCCGTCATACTTCAAGTGGTCGCAGTTGCTTACGAGAAGTGGTTGCACTTGGAGGTTCGACTGTAGTTAGTCGTTAAACATGGTTTCTTCTTATTATTGCAGGTTCTTTTTGAACTCATATTATTCACCCTCTGTCCTGAAGTCGTATCAGAGGAAGTGAAGCAGAGAGCAAGGATTATGATGAACAGAACACAGCAGTCAACTTTGCCAGAGTGAACAAGAAAAAATCCAAAACAACATTATCGGAAAATTAGTGAGCAACGATATTCTGTCAACAAGTCAAGTTCTTGTTGGAGGCGCTTGCATAGTTTTCAAAACGGCAGAAAAAAATATGTCACAGCTTTGTAAAGCGGCACTTGAAGCTCACTTTATTTGCAAGACCTTTATGCTACTAGCAAAAATAAAAATTGTATTTGATTTATTGAAAATTAACGAACACGTTTCATTCATGTAAATTGGACAAATTTAGAAAAAAAATTAAATTATTGGTATTATTTAAAGGAATATATGTTGTTGATAGACGAAAAAATAAATAATGGTGATATAAGTTATGGAAATAACATTGTCTATTTTGTGCGGAGAGAGCTGTGTTGGGATATCAATAAACTCTGGAGCAGACTTGATTTGTTATGGCCGTAAATCCTCTTTTTGATGTAGATGGAGTCGTTTCGCTAATGTGTCCCTGGTCTGAGAAAAAGGAACAGTCGTTTATTACTTCCCGGAGGGACACAGGGGTTTTGGAGGGGAAGGGGTAAAATTTCTGATAAGGCTTAATTTTGGGACATCAATTTTTGAGTCCAAATTTTAAGACCCCTTCTTGGCTAGCCTTTGTAAAAGTTGTTCAACCATATTGGCCTGCAAACACTCCCCGCTGGAACATAGTAAACGATCACTCCCGAATAGGCAACATTTTTGTGACACCACCACCAGTTTCCTCAGGGGGAAATAAGGAAATGTCGGCTCTTTTCTCAGGCTACTTACTCCTAAATTCCATAATACAGGGACTTGTACCCAGTCCTCCACAAAATGAAATGGGGTAATGCCAAATAATTGTTCAAGCTATCACTTGAAAAACCCTTTTTAAGTCTAATAAATTTGTCTGCGCTAAACTTTGGAGAAAAAATTATGAAAGCTTATTGCTGATTCCCCCATTTGGTGCTAAATGGGTGAGCACTGGGGGCACTAACTTACAGATCAGTGTTCAGTGATCACAACAATGATCCCATCCCTTTTTTATGTCACTGATCTCTCTTCCCACATAATTTTTGTTGTTATAACCCTGTAACCGGCAAGATCAATCCCCAAAAATTCAAAGTTGCCAACTAAAAAAAAAAGAAACATTCTACTTGTCAACATTGAAAATTTTATTTTGAGCAGTGGTAGTTTTCACAAAGGTATAATATTACTCGTAGACCCAGGAATATGTGGCTGGTTCCCAGTCGACAAGTTCCTCATCCTTAAACCAGAGAGCAATTTCCGTTTTTGCTGTTTTCACTGAATCACTACCATGACAGATATTCCTAAAAAAAATCAGACAAAAATGTCAGTGGGGTGGGAGACTAGGAGGGGTTCAGAAGGTGTATGTGAGAGGAAAGGGTAGGAAGTGGGAGTTTTAAAAGGGTGGGATGAGGGAAAAAAAGAAAGAAACTTGTGCAACAATAAAGAGAGATTATTGAGACATGTTTACGGCAAACACCAGATTCAAGTTGAGAATTTCTCAGAATAGAAAATAAACAGATAAAAACTGTCCAGAACAATTCTTATGGATAAAACTGGCGTGAAACCACTTATTTTTGTGTAGAAGTAAGAAATAGGAAATGACAATTAAGGGCAAAACTTGGTCACATGGTCCAACTTCATGTTTGCCATTTTTGGGTAAACGTGAATCTTGTTATCTTAATCTCTCTAATGCTTTTATAAGCTCTCGTAAGCAACCACTTAGAGTCTTATTCATATAAATCAAGAATTTAATGAAACTGCACACTGCGCTAATGGTTCACTGATAAAGATGGGGTTATTCAGGTCTAAAAAATGTAGCCATGTCTATATGTATCAGATATAAAGTCACTCATTAAACAATAATTTCTTTTGTTTTTTCTTTATGAATTGTCAGTGAGTTTCTGAGGTTCTCATGAGCGATCACCCCCTATTGTTTTAATATGCTGTCGCTTACGAGGGCTCATTCTCGTAAGTGACCAGCTCTGCTTATGACCACTTATTTGATTTTCCAAGGTGGTCACTTACAAGAGCTTCGACTGTATTCTCCACACTTTTGAAACAACTTCAAAATCAAAACATTGAATCTGTGCTGGTCATTTCCTTTCAACCGATTCATATGAAAATTTAACGCACCTTCCAATGTGAATGGAGAAATCTCCACGGACAGAGCCGGGCTTTGATTTTGCCTGCGGATAGTCAGAAATACTTATTAAATATAAATAAATAAATAATGTGGTGTTTTTTTCCTGCCAGTTTGTTCTGGCTCCAAGCTCTCTAGCAATATTATAGTTGAGACAGTAAGTTACAAGTTGCCTGTATGAAAATCTTTGAACTGTTTTAACTGTTGACATTTCTAGGTAATAAAAGTTATTTTCTGATAGTAATATTACAAGTGCTACTTACTGGATCTGTCTCACCCAAGATATCTCTGCATGTTTTCACAACACCAAGTCCTTCCCACACCTTATAAACAAAAATATATGTTGTTAGGTTTAGTCAAGTACCCATTTTGCAGAAGTTTTGAGATTTTTAATAGTTCATGAGGAGAAAACAATAGAAAGTCAGTGTCAGCAAATTGTCATTCAGATATTTCCCTACCCTGTTTAATTGGTCAGTCAGAGGTGACCTTACAAATGGTTGTTGTGTGTATTTGGTTTCTGTTTTAATACTGATATAATTTTTTTTAAAGCTGCTATACCAATGAATGGCAGCAAACATCAAAGTTCCCCGACAGAGCACAATCCCCGGAGGGGGCACTTGGGTATTTTTTGGGTGGGTATGTGCCACTTGGGACTCCAAATTGGCACCCCGTTCTAAAAAAAATTTTCCCTAAAATTGATTCCCTGTTCTAGAAATGGGCCAATCTTTAAAACCCTGTTTTAGAATTCGCCCTAAAACTGATACCCCATTCTAGAAATGGGCCAATTTTTTATACTCCGTTCTAGAAAGTTTGTAAATTGAAATAGCCCTGTTTTTTTAAGAAGATATTTCTTTATTTGTTTGACTTATACATCAAATAAATGCTTCTTCATAATCATCCGGAGTACGTTTCCTGTGCATGTGGATACAACGCGGTTAATTATGACGCAAAATCTCTCAACACACACAGAACCACGCTCAAAACTAACGATTTTCCTTCTCCTCCCCCGTCCCTTTCTTTTGAGCTTGTCTCCATCTCCCTCGGGTACATCGTTCCAGACTTCCGCGCACCTATCTATCCAAGATGGCGGAGTCAGCGCTCGCGGCTCGCGCCAAATATGCCTGCCCTGCATGCTAAAACACAGGGTGCAACAAGAGTACAACAGTTTGCTTGTTAATGCATTGAACCATATTTTCAAAAGCAACCTGTCCTTGATTAATTTTCAAATGGCTGCTTACAAAACTGGAGCTTTCATGCGTTTGAAATACTATACCCCGTTCTAGAAAATGCCTCTGAAATGGATATCCCATTCTAAATCAGGAGCTTCAAAATCATGACCCCGTCGGGCAGCACATAGTCGTATAGGTAATGTATGGGAGTACCACCCCCCCCCACCTCCCGGGCACAATCCCTTGTGTTTTCTTCCCTAATCATGACTGAATAAATAAATGAAACGTTTTTACAGGTTAAAAGATCAAAATGATAGGAATGCCATAATATCTGAACACTGTATGTGCAAACTCAAGTCCAAAAAAGCTTCCAAAACCAAATAACAAAGAGTGAAGACAGCCTTTATAACCAGTCCACTTTATTAATTATGGCTACACTAAGCATTTTACAAGCAAGAATATTCTGCCCTTTTCCCCTGGAACACAAATAGGAGACTGTTCATGGTCTATTCCCCCCTCCCCCCTCCAAGAATGCTCTCTTCACTAACTACAATGCCCATTTGCCACTGTTCCCAAGACGGAGTTCAAGTGTACACTTGAGCAAAATGATAAATTTAAGCCATCACCCAATCCTCCTGCCAGTTTCATTTGTCTATCTGGTCCTACAAATGACACATTTCATTTTTGACACTCGATCAAATACCCCGGAATGGTGTTGGCTGATTTCACTCTCCATTCCAATACAATGCCTTCCATGGCGTCTATGAAACATTATGAATTTTACAAATGTGCTTTGTAAGAAGGGGCAATTTAGTGTTAAAACACAGACGCAAAAATAGGGGAAGGGGGTAGACAGGGTATCGCAAAGGAGACAGTGGAGTAGGGGAAGAGCGAGGAACTCGCCGCCTGTCGTCACCGCAAACTGCCGCAAAGCAAAGCAAAAGTTTACGCAAGAAGTATCGTGAAGACGTACATTGAATATCACCTGCATTGCCTTAATTAACCAGTTAACAGGCTTTTATAGTCGTGTTACAATTCAGACAGTGAAGAAATAAACATCATACAGGAGAAGTGGTATCACAGAAAAATCTCAACTTACCATGGGTACAACGGGACCTGACGACATGTATTTTATAAGACCTGGAAAGAACTTCTTGTCTTTCAGTTCTTCGTAGTGCTTTTGAAGCAGCTCTTCGCTGGCCTAGAACAATACAAAATAACTTTGAATGTACAATTTGTACTACTCAAGCCATGATTTCACGGAATCGAAAGCAGACGTAGACAACATAATATTTCAAACCTTGACAAATTTCATGGCGACCAGCTTAAATCCCTTCTGCTCGAATCGTTTAATGATGTCGGCAATAAGTCCTCTGTGGACGGCATCTGGTTTGAGCATAAGAAATGTTCGCTCCTTATTTCCTTCACCGTCACCTGACATCTTCAAAAGGGAATTATACGCGCTTTCTTCAAAACCACTTTACAAAGAACCGGTTGAATCTTTGAAAGCGACTTAGCCACGTGGGCGGTGCAATTTATGTTACAATGTCCAATTAAGGTGAAAAGGGTGGAGCAGGGGGCCGGGGCCCGGGGGGTGCCGAAATACTTCTCAGGGCCTCTTGACATGAGCCCGGTTGACCGGGCTGGCCCGGTTTCCGAGATCGCGCCTTACATCCCGTCTAGATCCCTTGTAAAATTTCGATGGGTTCATATGAGAGGGTTGGCGTTTTTCCAAACCGAGATCTCGGTAAGCGGCCAAGCGGGCTGAAAATTTTGCCTGATATGGACACTTCAGACCGGTTAGATCCGGTTACCGGGATGAATTCAGGAGGTTGGGATGGCATAATCTTTGGATGGCATCGTCTTGCATTGCCTGCTATATTTTCCACATCAGGCGTATTTTGGGCGCGGGCTAAAGCTGCTTGTTTATGTTCGTATTGTTGTTGCCACCATCTAGCTTAGATTTTGTGACAGAGGAAGATTGGGGCGAGTAGAAATAGAACATTCCGGCCCACCTGAAGAAGATGCCTGCACTGTAAGCTATAGCCTGGGGTGAAGCCGGCCCAAATATCGCATGTAGTGTGGATAGTTTAGTCCTATATAACAAGGTTTAAAGTGTCTGCGCGCAGGCTATGTAAGCTACATCATGAGCATTCCATTTACCGTATTTATGCGATTAAACGCCGCGGCGTTTATCAAATTTTTCGCGTTTCCAATGCGGCGTTTATTTCGAAATCACTTTTTTAAGATCGCTGACAACAGTTATTATCTTTTAAAATCGTTAGTGAATATTATGTAATTTAAAGGTTCCAATGTCTCCCTTAGGCCTGTTTCAAACGTCGTGCTACTGCCTTGCTAGGCTGGCTCGACTGTAGCTCGACTGCAGCACTACACTAGCTCGACTTGGTTTCAGACGACGAATTTCATTCAGTCGAATAGCACGGCATTTGACGGCAAAACGCAAAAATAAAGAAACGGTTTAGCAAACTTTTAAATGTATCAGTAATGCTTTGATAAGTTATGAATTGAGTTCGGCACGGCGGTGGCGCGACGTTTGAAGGCAAGTCGAGCTACTGCCGTGTAGCACAGCAAAGCTTGCCGTGCTACAGTAGCACGACGTGGTTTCAAACGTCGCGCTACTGCCGTGCTAAAGTCGAATTTAATTCAATCAATTGAGTTCGGCACGGCAGTAGCACGACGGCAAGTACTTCATGGCTACTACACCTACTACAGCTACTACACCTACTACGGCTACAACGGCTACTACACCTACTAGAGCTACTACACCTACTACAGCTACTACACCTACTACAGATACTACAGATACTACAGCTACTACACCTACTACACTTACTACAGCTACTATAGATACTACACTTACTACACCTACTACACATACTACAGGTACTGCAGCTTCGGAGGTGGAAGCTGAATAATTGAATCACGATTATTCATTATTCTTTGCTCTTTTCTCCCGATTATTCATTATTCATTTCAATTTTTCCTTGATATTCATTATTCATTTTTTAGTTTGTATATTAATTTTCCTTCTCAAATTCCCTTTCTGTGGGTTGTATAACTAAAGAAGTTAAAACTGTGATACTAAGAAACTTTTGGCTCTATCACAAAGGAAGAGAATCGTACTGAAAAAACGAGGTAGAAACCTTGAGATTAAACAATATATGGAATATATTTTAACCGGAAATTTTCTACAGTTCTATACGTTGGTTATCAAAAGTTTACATCATCAGTATACATTCAACCTTTTCTTTAGCAAGTACCCCTCTGTTTTTTCTATACATGTGGTCAAAATAATGTAAAAAGTACTAAAAACGTACCGAAACTAACAAATACTGACTATAACTGAAACGAACACTAAATTTTGTGCAATAAATCCTAACGCATCGACTTAGTTCAAACGTCGGGCAGAATAGGCTGCTTGCTTGCGTGGGACCCGCTAGTACTGCCCCACCTACCAGGTTACTACTCGGACGGATTTTAGGACCCGCCTAATGGCAAGTCCACGTTTCTTTGGAACCTTGACGCTGAGACATAAATTAATTTCTAAATTGTCCAATCGCCGATTTAGAAATCCTCTGTCGAACATTACAATGGTAGGTTCTAAGAGTGCAACTTTTTAGACAATTGCATCTCAGCAGGGGCGTAGCATGAAATTTTTGAAGTGTACGCACGGGAAGAAAAGTTAGAGCGCTGAAGGCAATTCAAACTAGGGTGCTCCTCCAGAAAATTTCTGAATTTAGTTTCTCGGCAATGTCATTTCCAGCCCTTTCCACAGGGCATTTTCCATAAATAAATACGAAGGGAAATGCAGAAATTAGTTGTTTCTTTTACCCATATAGTTATTGGTATGACAGGTACAGTGTTTACAGAAAAAAATAAAGCTCAAGTAGATTAAGACCTGGGTCATTACACAGTTTTCAGAATTTTCAAAGGGGGGTGGTATAACGTACAGTATTTTAAAGACATCCCGTGACTAACAATTTAAGGCCAATCATAACCAAGAAATCTTCCAATTTCATTTTAAAAATTGTTCATAACTGCATTACGTGACCAGCCACGCCCTGTTTTATCGAGAAATCCTTTGAGTCGAAATTCCCACCAGAAGGAGAGTAAACCGTTTCTTTTTTGCAGGTTCAAAAAGTGGCTACAGATAGTCTTCTCGTAAAAACAATCGGAATGAGGAGAGGTCAATAAACGTCTTTCTTCTGTCGATAATTTTACTTAGAGGAGGACTGGCACTAGTCAGTGAACACCAATTGCACAGGCCAATTGTAATACTTCGAACCATTCCGAGCTGATTTCGTGGACACTTTGAAGGGACAATGTTTTGGTACAGAGAAACTGGAGCTACTCGCTTGTCAAGTGGTGGGAATCCTTGGTTACAATTTTCGAACAATGGAGGGCGTGGTCGATCACGTGAACAAATAATTTTAATTTCTTTAGTCAAGTTTTTTTAAGTTTCGTTTACTTTAACATATAACGTCTCTTGTGGATGTCTTTAACCATAGTTTTTGGAAACTGTACATAAAAACTATAAATGAGTTAGACCCAGGCCTTAATCTACCTGAGAGGGTAAGACAGAGGCGCCATCAAGTGCTGGTTACAAGCAAAGACGCTAATATAAAGCGAAAAAATTTATCCGTCATCCCGATTTAATGATAAAAATGCTTTCAAGAAAAAATACAAAAAATTTGCCAGATTTCAGCTGTACGCATGGGCGTATGTGAGTATATGGACGCTACGCTCTTGCTCAGTATGACTAAAGTAATAGAATCCAATATCTTGATTATCAGAGGACACTGGCTTCTATTTATAGTTTCATCTTAAGCCTCTATCAACATTTGTTCAACCATTCGCTTACCATTAATGAGAGCCGATGTTGAGACCGAGTGACATCCCACTCTAAAATTGTTTCAGGTTTCTGTTAAACCAGTTTAAACATTGTGTCAACTTCATATCAGTGCTGTAGTGTGGAAATGGAAGTAACATAATTGTCATGACAGGAACTGTTGGAAAATATTTCCACCAAAGAGCAAGAGTTTGGAAATATGACCAAAGTAATTCTGGTTACTGAAATGGTACTTGAGGGGCTGGAAACTCCGACGAGTTGTAAAGTTGTAAAAATCAACATTTATGGTACAAGCATAATACAATAGGCCACGCCAGGAGCGAGGCTACATCGTGAACTGGAGCCCACAGGTTCGATTCTGTCAGCTCCCTCTAGGGGAAGTTTGTACGATTTCAAACCAGTTTCGTCAGTGTTCATCTCAAAAAGAACACGATCCACAATAGGGTATGGTATTTTTGATGAGAGTGGTATACGAATTTATTTTATCTAGATGTAGACCACAAACGGTTTTCTTTCGGGGTTTGCCGCGTTGTTTTGCTTCACTGGTTTCGCGGGGATTCCTATGTTTGCGATGGGCAGAAAAGTTGAACTTATTTCTTTCGTCTTCAGTTTTTATGGGATCATTTAACAGCTATGAGTTATTCATTATTCCTAGGCGAGACAGTGTTATTCATAATTCCGGATTTTCTAACTCCAAATATTCATTATTCATTTTCGTTTAAACCCCTTTATTCATTATTCAATGTTATTCAGCTTCCACCCCCGATACAGCTACTATACTCCTACTACAGATACTACAGATACTAAGGCTACTACAGCTACTACACCTACTACACATACTACACTTACTACAGCTACTACAGCTACTACACAAACCACAGGTACTACAGATACTACACCTACTACAGATACTACAGCTACTACAGATACTACACCGACTACACCTACTACAGATACTACAGCTACTACGCCTACTACAGCTACTTCACCTACTGCAGCTACTACAGTTACTACACCTACTACAGCTACTACAGCTACTTCACCTACTGCAGCTACTACAGCTGGTACAGCTACTACAGCTACTAGACTGACTACACCGACTACAGCTACTACAGTTACTACAGCTACTACACCTACTGCAGCTACTACAGCTGACTACAACTACTTCACGTACTGGTACCATTGAGGGCATTGTGGGCTTGTCGTGTATATGGCATTCAGCCATGAAGTATTTGCCATCACGACGTTTGAAACGGGCCTTTATGTTGCTGAGATAGAGTCGTAAATGTCTGGATGTTGTAAATTACCAGGTTGTAACGAGATTTCTTTTTCTTATTATCCTCGAATAAACGCCGCATTCTCCTGATTAGGTGCGGTGTTAATTCGAGGGCGGCGTTTATTGGTAATTTTGCTTCCATCTGTCGCGTTTGATAGAGGGCGTCCTTTAATCGAATAAATACGGTAACTGCAGTGATACAGCTCCAAGAGTTGCCGAAACTTTCATAAGCGCGAATGTTATAACTTTTGTTTCTCGCCATGTTTGCTTTAGCGCCAGAACTCGTTCCCAGGATTTTTGGTCTTTTCTCATTTTCATTTCTCATCTCGGAGACCGGGTTATGAACCCAAGGCGGAATTCGTCCGGTAACCGGGCCAGCCCGGTCAACCAGGCTCATGTGAAGTTGCATGTGAAAAGGCCTTGATGAAACGGGCTGGAAGAAAATAGACTGCTTCCAGCCCGGGCTTGCAGTGACTGCGGTCAGCCTTTTCTCCAAGATCCATCGAGTTCTTAGTAACAGTGAGCACGTAAAGACAAAAAAACACTTTTAGCCAAAAAGGACTGGGAGACATGAGAAAAGAAGACTATTAATAACAACACCTTAGTCCTACCCTGGGCACCCTACCAGAATTTTTTTTTCTCGCGCGCAGCAGGAATCTTCGGTACGCCGCTGGTACGCCGGCTACAGAAACCGGAAACCGCACAAGAAAAATCTCTGGCACCCAGAGTATTCAGTAACAGATTTAGTGAACACACAGACGACAATGGGGATCACTTGCGGTGTGGGGATCATTTGCGGTAACGTACATCTGAAAACAGAGCTGATTCCCATACCCCGTAAGCTGATTCCATATGAAAAATTTTTGTTCACTCTGGCTTTCACTGTTTTTTCTCTCTTGTATATACTTTTTAGCGTCTTTTATCTCATTATTGATTAAACATATTAAGCTCAGACCTATTTCTAGATCATTTTTTACTTTTAGCTTTCGTATACACAGGTCAGAGTTTTGTCGGTCTCAGTTCACGTCAGAGCTTTTAATACCCTCTCTTGTCAGAGATCGAGATCGGTCATTGTACTACAACGACCAAGATCCTTTTTCCTTTCTCATTTAAATTTTATTATCCCAGTGAACCAGTGACGTTTAAATAACAAAAGCAACAATCTGCATAAGAAAGTAAAACCATGATAAATTCTGGCCTTTGCAGTGAAATTATGTCATCATGCAAATGGCCTATCGGAAGGTGTTCGTTTTTGGGGGGAGGGTGAAACCGGAGTACTGCAGAAAAGCCTCTCTGACACTATGTCACCCTTGCTTCCCTTGCAAGGGACTAAACAGCCTTACAAAAGGAGTTCGTACTTTAACAAAGGATTACAAAATTCACTGAATTTATTGCTGCTAGCTACAAGCGATTACAGGTCATTTTTCATAAACATATTTATAGGCTGCAGGAGTCCAGTCCACCAGTTCTTCCTTTTTACTAAACCAAAGAGCAATTTCCTTTTCTGCACTTTCTACTGAGTCACTGCCATGAATAATATTCCTGCACAAAAGAAATGAAACTCATCAGGTCTGCAAAAGTTATAAGATTATGTGCCTGCGAATGACAGCTGCCTCTTGTCGTCGCTAGGTGACTATCTCTTGAAACGCCCCAGTGATGAGGAGTGCTGTGAGGTTGCTGTATAAGCTGGTAGCACAGGCATTCTTTGCATGTTTCAGGCAAGTGAAGGCTAGTACGCTACACAGCCGTTTTTAGTGTCGTCACGCAACGCTCCTCCCCACAGTGGGGAGGAGCATTGCGTGACGACACTAAAAACGGCCGTGTAGCAGACTAAGTGAAGGCCAGCACAAGGTGATGTGGAGTGTCAGACATGCCCGCCTGCCTCCCGCTTGCCTTCTCATGCCGGAAAAACATCAAAAAATAAAACCTGTTCTGCAGGCTAGAGCTGCATTCGCAGGCTGAAATAAACAATACAAACTCTTTTTTGTCCCTGTTTAGAAAGCAAAAATGAAGTTCTGAACCTAGAAAATCCAAGTTACCCCGCAAATAAAATTCTGCGACACTTTCAAACGAAGAGATCTGTTAGAATCACAAAAGATTCTCATAGCGTAATAACTGCAAATCGCTTCATAACTCAATATTGCCTATTATAGTGAGTTTGGGCCGCCTTGAATATGGGCACCTTTATAATATGGACATGGTAGAGAAGTTAGTCTAAAAATTCTGCTCTCAGATAGTAATAACAGGATGTATTAAAAGATGTAAAAAACAAATCTGCGTTTCCTATGAATGATACCTTCAGATTATTGAGGCCAACATTACGAAACAAAATAGGTGCTCCCCCCTGCCCTTCAAATTAGCAACCCTATCTTCTCTTCTTCTCTTCTTGCCACAACAGAGTGGTACAGAGAAACAGAGAAAATAATATTTTATTGCTTATGGCTATAACTTTAAAGTCAATTAAGAATTTGAAACCTCAACAACTTTTTTTCATCAATAAACTTGCCTTCCAATCTCAATACAATAGTCTCCACGGATTGTTCCTGGTTTTGATTTTGCCTGTAAATAAGACAAATAGACTGGTTTAAAATTTCTCAAGTATTTATTCCATGTGCTGAATTAATTTACCAATTAAGAAAATAATAGACAATGAGTAGAAGTATACATATAATATCCTCCAAAAATGATTCTTTTACAACTATACAATGTTATTGCCAGAATTTCGGGCTGAGTAATTCACTGTTTACAAATATTTACCAGTCTTTAGAATTAAAGAGAATTTCCCTAAAATTAGTTATCCATAATTTCTCATTAAAATGAGGAAAATTTAAAAGAAATCAAATAACATTTTTCTTTTAAATGCAGAGGTCAGAGGTGTTCCACAGGGACCACTGTTTTGAGTACACAAAAGACCCCTGATAAAATCAAGCCATCCAAACAAATACTTGCCAAATTTTCCTATCCCCTAAAATCCCAGAATCGAAAATTTCAATCCCCCCCAAATTATTTTGATCATCCCTGTCACTCGAAATCTGTAGTAGTCCTGTGGGCTTTGAACAGGCCTGGCCCCACACTATAAAAATAATGATGGGTCAGCATTAGATCCCATCGGCCGTAGCCCTTTTCTCCTGTTATGAAATTTACACAAGGTAGCTCGAACTGTTTTCTGCTTTTATATCACACTTAGATGATATTTCAAGCTGCAAATGTTCATGAAAGTGCAAGTCTCTTTAATATGAAAGAAAAAAAACTTATATGAAAAGCAGTACGAATGAACCCACGAGCCAGAAAACCCAGTAAGCCACACTAACCACTAAACCACTGCAGGTTTGATGGATGGAGGGAAAATAATTTAAGTACATAAAGCATCAACCGCAACCCCAAAAAAGTGCTTAACCCTAATCAGTAAAAGCAGTGCTTAACACTAATACGTAAAGAGAAAAACTACGTTGTGTAAATTTCATGAAGTGTCTGAAGGGGCTACGGTCGATGGGATCTAATGATAACCTAAATGACGTTGCAACAGGGGCATTTTGGAGCTGCACCCACAAATTAGTTCCTTGAGGGTAATCCATAACTCATTGCAGAACTAAAATTGCACATGTTTTCTGTGCTGGTGGCAGTTTATAAATACATTTCTCCGCAAACCTCTAATTTATTCTCAGTAAAATATTGATAGGAAAAGTTCAAATAATAAATTTAAAATATGTTTTTAAAAGGATAGCTAACAAGTGCAGTATAGATAAAGAATATCCATGTGGCATGTTAATTATATTCCAAACCTCATTTCAATAAAAATAAATAAAATATATTTATCAGCTAAGCCTAAAACTAAACTCACAGGATCTGTCTCTCCAAGCATGACACGTCCAGTTTTCACGACTCCAAGACCTTCCCACACCTACAGGAAATTATGATCTAATTACCAGCTAGTGCAATCATAAGCTAGTACAATGAACAGAAACTGAACTGCTTAGCTTACTAGCATTACTCAACTTAGCTTCCACAGCATTGATGATTTCTAACTCTAATTCCTTACAGTACATGTGCATGTAGATGCTAACTAAGGGAGAGTTCCCCTCTTAATTCAACTTAGCTTCCACAACATTAATGCTTTCTAACTCTGATCCTTTACAGTAAATGCTAAGTGCTGACAGGGCTGACTTGGTGTCCCTGGTCTTGTACTGAAGTGGTAGTACAGACCAAGCACATTAAACTCCATACAAGAATGACCTTGGTCTAATATTACCCAGTACAGTCCAGCCTGGGTAAGTGAGGTCGATAAGTGGTTTATCATATGGTATCAATTTTTAAAGAGAAACAAAACTAGCCTCTGGTAGGTGCATCGATCAGTTGCCATTAAACGTTCAGTCCTGCTTGGACTTGTACAGTGCCAGAGTCTTCTTCTGGCATTTTTTATGACATGAGAGGCATAACACGCAGTACAACATTTTTCAGTTCAAAAACACTCTTGTTGATGTGCAGTTTTGCAACAATCCAGCACAATTTTTTTCACGTATTCAAGCCAAGTGAAGTTAAAATAGGAAGCAGAAAAAGGTGGTCAACCTAAGAGACGTTTAATGGCTGAGTATTTTGGCAATGCTGGCTGACGATTTCAGTAATCAAAAAGAGCTAGAATGTACACATTTGAGTGTCACCAGATTAATACTATCTTTTAATGTCCCTTCAAATGAATAATTTTGCTCAATGTTTGCATATTCTTTTAATTCTGCATGAGTGAAGTGTGAAAATACTTGAACCCATTATAAGCCAAATCCCTAACTTTAGTTACGGACAGAGTGGACTGCTTTAAAATTAAACCAAAAACCTCATACATATCGTATACACTCATTTTATTCAAAGAGACTGAATGAGTTTTAATTTCCCTTCTTGACAAGATTGAGTAGAGAAATACCATATTTTCTCAGTGAATATTAACTTTGTTAAAGTTTCTCGTGAGTTTTGTCGAATTAATATTCTGTTCACTTGGAGCTAAGTCCTGCTTTTATTTACAGTTTGACAAACCATTAATAATGAAAAATCTATTGATTAAAAATTTAGTCCCAAAATAACTTCTGATGAGTGGCCAGCATTACCTTCAGGCCAAGGTGTTGATAAAAATTATTATTTGGTTTCTTGGGGAGGGGTAGTGGGTATTGGAGGGGCAAGTTAGTGCGTTAGATAAACACTAAGCTAAAAACTGTTTTTGGGAGCTTTTTGAGCCATTTATTGGGAGGCACTCATGGGTCAGTCTGTCCAAACATTGTCAAATAATATTATAGCTAAACTAGTCATGTTAAGTTACAGTGCACAGAGTTTTATTTCCTAGAAAGGGTCTGAAAATTGACATGGGTCCATAATCATAATAAATTGCATCTTACCATGGCAACAACAGGCCCACTAGCCATGTGCTTCACAAGTCCAGGAAAGAAAGGCAGATTACTTAGGTCAGCATAATGCTGTCGCAAATGTTCCTCACTTGCCTTGGAAAGAAAACAAAGACATAACTTACTGCGCTTCATACAAAAAGTAGGGGAAAGTAGCGATTAAGATGTTTATCACCAGCTATAATCAACTAGCCCAAAAATACAAAAAGGAATACAATATTCCACTGGAATCCTTCTTACTTGCATAAATTTCATTGCTACCAATTTGAACCCTTTCTGCTCAAATCGCTTGATGATGTCTCCAATAAGACCACGCTGGACACCATCAGGCTTCACCATTATAAAGGTTCTTTCAGTTTTATCTGGTTTGTTTTCTACCTAAAAATTGAACAGAGAAACCAAATAGTTAGTAGTACATAGATGCAGAAATAATCATACTTCCATTATAATAATTCAAAGACAGATGGAAGAGCACAGAGGACATAAATCAAAGAGAGGGTGTAGCTGTTGTAGGTAATTAATCCATTCTTAGGTTAAAGTATTAGTCTATTCTACCTCTGAATCAGAATTTCATGTCTCGTAGCCTCAGGGGAAGCTTCCATGTGAAAGAGATAGGGGAGATTGTATAGATATACACAACCCTGAAATTAGTGAGACTTTTTCAAGCAGAAACATCAGCTTTCCATCCTGAATTCCCTACATGAGGCCAAAATCTAAAATGCAGTCTACCAAGCAAGAGCACAAGCATCTTGATCATAATAATATATTACAAATTCTATAACTTCACAGGAGTTCAGGCTTCAGGAGTAATCATCGATTATTGTGACAGTGCTGTTTTGTATGGTCCGAAATTATAAGACCACACTCATCAGGCAACTTCATAGCCTGAATTTCACCCAATTACTTTGAGTCGTTATTACTCCCTCAGTAATGTCTGAATCGAGCGGCCGTTAATGCTGTCCAATGACGTCACACCACTCCTTTGCTTTAATTCATGCAAAAATCTAAACACGATTTTCAAGTGGTAAACCAAGAAATATCGTTTGGAAATGTCTGCACGATACAGAATGGCTTTACTTTTTTCGATCGTAATTCTTGTTTAATGTTCAAACTCTCAACTGCATGCAGTGCTCTGAACCGGTTGTAATTCCATAACCAAACTCAGTCACAATCACGCAATGAAATAAATACACACACAGAACGCTTAGTTAAACAACACAACAATTTGCTTTACAGTCAAACCAGGTCAAGCGTTCCCGTAGCTAGCAAACTAATGAATTCATTAATGGAAAAATGATTTCGTTTGTTGATTCAATAATCTATTCATAAAATGAATAATCCAACAGTCAAATTGGACCTCGATTCAATAATTAAATGTTGATTTGGTTCATGAACAAAACCTACCTGTTCTTTATTCTTGTCTGTTGAGTTCAATAGTATTTGCTTCCCTTTTCCTGCCGTTTACGATTCCGTTTTTAATTGTCTTTAATCAAAATAACAGCTAGAAGAGACAGACTGCAACCGCAAAGAAACTGAAAAAGGCCGGGGATCGAAATCCACCAATCACCGCACATACACTGACCTCAGTTTGACTTTTGTCTTTTCTAAGAGGTCAGGTCCGTTGCACTGATTACTGGAAGCCAAATGGCGTACATGTAACAGTTTGTTTGGGTTTGAACTTCAGAACTCGCCCGCTCTCGACTCTTAGAAAAAAAGACGAAAAAAAGTGTAGTTTTCGATTATGGAATCAAGGCTAAATATGAATATTGGATTGTTCATTTTCTGAATGGATTATTGAATCAACAAACGAAATCATTTTTCCGTTAATGAATTTATTAGTTCGTTAGCGACCGCAACGCCTCACCTGGTTTGACTGTAATTGAAAGGAAACTATTTGGTCCTTAATGAAGAAAAAAGAAAACAAGGAAACAAGAAAGAAAAACTAGCAGAATCATTACACTTGATGGTGAAAGTAGCTAGAAGGTCGAATTACAACATTGGTCTCAGAAACTTCGCATAAACAAAATCACTGCTTAAACCACAAAGTGGCTCTAAATGAAAAACCTACTGACTCTCCGCAATGATTCTTCATTCGCAGTTCAATTTTAGCATTTCAATTTTGAAGACGAGGGCAAGTTTGCTGTTTACAATAAAGATTAACGAAATGTTTGAACTCCACGCAAAGTATACCAGGGATGTGATCCGCTGAATATCAAATGACAATCCCACTAAAATTTCTCATAATTATGCACAATTATGCAAATGTTTAGACAATCAACCAATCAAAATCACTACACAGTTTTCGGGTAGTGATGACGCCACAGGACGGCATTAACGGCTTGTAGATTCAGACATTGCTGAGAGGAGAAAACAACTCGAAGCAATCGAATGAATTTCAGGCTAGCAACTTCAACGATTGAAGGATTATTAGAAGTTCCCTACCTCCCTCCCATCCCTGGCTCCACCCCAGGGGATTACAATTTGGATCAGCTCCCAAAATATCCCTGGTGCCAGAGGTTCCTTTTTTCTTACCTTTCTAAACTAATTTCTGCTGCCAAGAGCATGAGCAGCAAAGCTGTGACACTAGCAAGTCATCAAGAAAAAAAAGCTCTCAGGACTCGGGTCACTGGAGTTACTAGTCTAATGTCCATACAAATTTTGGATCATAATAATTATCTCACCAAACCGTTTTTGGAGCTGGTTTATATATTATGTTGTTTTCATTACTCTGAACACTGACTTCAATCTGACATGGCCTTGTGATGAGTACAATGGGCTTTCTCGCTTTCAAATAACGAGAGACTGAGAGGGATTTTATAATTAAATCGTTTTCTCTGAGCCTCTCTGTAAGAGGAAACACCATTCTCTACAGGTATTCTCTTTCTCAACAGATGTTCACAAAATTTTAAGTAGGGTTTGTTAAGCACTGAAAAACACATTTTTGGTCTCAGTGCGAAAAACAGTTTTGAGAAGTACTCTGATCAAGAACCCATTTTCAACTACCTTGTTTCACTGAGGTCCATTTCAAAAAAGAGATAACGCTAGCCACCAGGTAAAACAGATTTGGCAGCTCAGTCCAGGTGGGGGGGGGAGGCACCTACCCAACAAAGTGTTATAGGGGGAGGCTCTGCCCCGAGGTCCAACACCTAACCCTTTTCAAGGGAGAATGAGCTAAGAGAGCGAATCCCCCATACATGACTCGCTTCCTATGAAACCTATTTGAAATCTATTCTATTGTAGGTTCTGTGTCATAATGCGTGGTTATTCGAAAGACATTATACCTCATTCGTCATTTAAAATAGCATCACATAATTTTAAACTTGGTGTAAATCTATATCAATGAGTCTTCCTATTACTTTCATCCATAAGACAAAAAATTTTTCCATGAAAAACTCTGGCCAGAGTGACCACCTACAAGCAAAGCAGTCCTGGCTTGTGGAAATTGCCATAGAGAGTGATATTTCCGACTTGAAAGAAATTGCTAATTGTGGGCTTCGCTACATCAGCAAATAAACAACCTCAAGTTAGCCATAAGATTGTAAACAATACCTGTCTCTTCTGGCGACGTTTGTGCAAACCAGCCGTGATATCCTTGTTTGCATAATGAAAAAATATGTTGTAATAATGAGTGCCAACATGACATGCTTAGCCACCAAACATCAGGCTCAAAGTTAGCGACTAACTGGTCGCATATGCGACTAGATTTTTGGTTGTGTGCCTAAAAATTCAAGTGTAAGCGCACCTGTGCGCCATAAAACCCAAAGCAAAGTGCGACTGACTTACTTCCGACTATACTTACGAACTCAAACTAGAAAGACGGTGTATGTTTAATTGGTCTTTTCTCCCAATGGATTCTACCAACTCGAATGTTCTTTTTCATTTCGATGTTTTACTCCATCCCAGACTGCTCTGTTTTGTCATAAACACCACTGACACATGCAAATATATGCTATGAATGAAACATGTACTATTTGCACAATGGACGATCATGTCGAACGTTCAGTTTTAATGTCAATCAAAACAAAAACAGTACGGATTAAGAGCCCTTTTTCCAGGTAAGAAAGTTTTTTAAGTCATATTCCAGTTACATGTAAGTCATTGCGCATTTAACAAATTCATTATAAGATTAATTTTCATTCTCGTTCGTCACACTCATTGTTGTCAGTTTTGAATTGTTTTTCAAGTGTAAGTTTTCTTTAGTCACAACTGTACTGTCAAAAAGAGAAATTAGTATTAAACATCACAACAGTATTACTGCGTAGCAAATCGGCTGTGTTTTATCAATCACAGGACTGAAGTAAAAGTAACAAACTGAAGATGACAAATAAACGTGGCACTGTTAAGATTTTTACTTTTTCTTTTGAAAGAGATGCTCCCAACATTATAAGCTGTGCTCCTAAAATTTTCAGCTGTGCGCCTAAAATTTCGGCAGTGCGCCTAAAAATTTACATCTGGTAGCACAAGTGCTCCCAAACTCAAATTTAAACTTTGAGCCCTGAACATTTGAATTTTTTTTTTGTTTGGGGGAGGGGGGTAGACAATTGTTTAAGTCTATGCAGGAAACTGTTTAATAGCTTGAATCCTCTGACCCATTTTTTTTTAGCACAACATTACAAAATCTCGCCTATTGAAATGTGTCCCTAGTAAATGCAAATTTTTCTGTCGATCAAAATTAATGTCTTCTATTATTTGTAGGTGGAATTTGGTGAAACATTTGATTGTTTTGGAGACAACAGTAGAACACAAGATACCAGAAATATCAAGATCTGCAGTCTTAAAGCGTGTTGCGTGACTTTGTTCAGTTATAGCATTTCTCATGACTTTCCCTCATAATCTTGATAGTCAAAATAAACAGGGTGCCCAAAAAGGCAAGCATCTGAGAAATCAAAGGTGACATTTTTGTCTCCAGTGAAATCTGCAGAAAAATTAAAAGGAATTTGGACACAAGTGCAAGTGAAACGAAATACATATGTATCACCGTGGTTGTAAACACAAAGTTTCCTTGATTTTTTTTCCCCTTGAAAGCGTAAATTCGCATGAAAGAATTTAATGTTCACAAAAATAATATTAAATGAAATGAACAAAATCGAAAAGTTGTAAAAAAAGCCAAGATATTTCAGTTTGATGGAAAGTAAGCAAAAGGGTGGGTGATTTGCATACTGATTACAACAACTTTAAGCACAATTCAAAACTGTTCGACTTCCCGTTGATTTTTCTGGCATTCTGTACATTCTACTGGCTTAAATCAATAAAATATTTTATAAAGTTAAAATAATTTCAAAAGTTGAGCGATTGCATTTCCTAATAAAATGCACAGTAGCGTGAAAGCTCCGAATTAATAATTTGCTTACCATAAGTTAAATTACCATTATATCATGGAAAAATGCGCTATCACTTCAGTCTAGAGTCAAAAGAAGGGACATGCATCAGCATACTTTGTGAGCGAGCAAATAGCCATGGGACTTGCAATTTTACGGGCGACGCTGATCAATAGGTGGAATTCTGTAATGACAGTTTTAAACTCCACAGAATAATATTCTTAGAAGCAAGTGTGCTGATTCTGAATGCGAAATATTCCCACTGGAAATAGAGAAAGTATATCTTGCACATTAGCATATTTAGAGACTGACGCCAGCCACTTATTAAAGGTTTCATATTTTGCATGAGAAATTTGCCTTTGGTTTTTACTCTACCTTAGCTTTTAACATCAGTTTCTTCGGAGGAGGTTAATGTTAGAAAATGTTAATCTATTTAAATCTCAAGGCTGAATTTTGACTCCAATACTGCAATCCATTCTCATTGACACTCATTCCTAAATAATGAGGGAACATGCTGATTAAAAACATGTCAACAACTTAAACCTTTGGCATGACAATTTACTATAACAACTGTCAAAACAATAAATAATAAATTATTTATTGTTTCGCAGGGCGGAAACATGTCATGTTCTTGTGAAAGTAGACGACAAGTGTCATGGAAACAACAGACAAAAATGACTTTCGTAGCATGTGTGCAAACTTAAAATAGATTTCAAATAATTATCGTGAACCGGGCATAGGAATTTGCTCTCTAAGCTCATTTTCCCTTGTCCTTTTATGTACCATTTTTAGTAGAAAAGGTAGCCCTTTTTAATATCCCTTTCATTGACAAATGGCAACCCCTTCACACGCCTAATATAGATCTTTGCATCCCTTTTTAACTCTTGTAAATGCAGTGTCTCTTAAACATGAATAAATCATGAAACCAGAAAATTTTCTCACCTTTTTCACAGCCACAAAATCTTTCTGTAGCCCCCTTAGGTCATTTAACAGACTGAAATGAAAGATTTCCCTATCCTTATTTCGGGTGGGGCCTCCCTCTACAGGGCTCGAAATTAAAAAAAATCCTCAGGTCACCTTTTGGCGACCAATTGGAGAAATATAGTCGCCAGATGCAAATTTTTAGTCGCCAGTTTGTACATAAATGTAAATGAGGCAGGTCATAGTCGGGGCTTCTGATATTTCGCACCATCGCAGAGCTCGAAATTCACAAAAATACGCAAAATACCCGAAATTTGGTAGAAATCTTATCAAATACGTGTCTGTACAACATATTTGAAACTTTTATCAGCTATTGGGGCTATTTACTTGCCGTAAACTTGTAAATTTATCTTGAAACTTCGTCACTGAAACGCGCAAACAATGTCCCGAAACTCCGAAACTACCAGGTGAAGATTATGTTGCGAAAAACTTGGCACTAGCCATGATGTTAAAGGCTTTGCCATTGGTTCAGTTCTGGAGCGTATTGTTGTTGAAAGAGCAAATGATGACCTCTGTTAGAAAAACATTAACAACGCTGGTCTGGTCAGCGCAAAACCGATTGATCTCTAACAAAGTTTTCCCTTAAAATAACCACAAAATCGGCCTTTTTTGACCGACTGATTTTCAGCTAAGTTTGCCCCGAAAATTCCTGCGAAATCGGTCGATTTTTCCGCGAATTTCCCCCTAAAAATCCCGCGACATTTGACTTTTTTTCCGCGACGTATCAGAAGCCCTGGATAGTATGGTGCTATACATCGGATTTGAAAATATTGTGGATAGAAGTCGGTATAAAATTGGAGGTGAACTGGCTCTGTTTATGCGATTTGGCACATTTTTTATGACGAAAGCAAAGCAGGATAAGATGAAATGTTTGTTTTAACTTTACTCTTTTAATTTAGATCTAAATTATCGAGAAATCTGGTTGTCACTTTGGCGACTAAACTAGAACTTTTAGTCGCCAAGGAGAAAATGTTAGTCGCTTTGGCGACGGTATCAGTCGCAATTTCGAGCCCTGCTCTATAGGCAATAATAGGGATTATCTCCCTCCTGGTGTGTGTGTGTTGGGGGGGTGGGGGTGTGCTCAGTTTTTACACTCGCCACTTTCAGAACAATATTACAATCTTAAGAAGGAGCAATTGTTTTACATTCAAGCGAGGTACAGCTACAATAATATTGGAGGTAGTGCATCACAGAGTCCAAAGGACTAACAAGAATTGCTAGTTTGCATGTGACATCATGGCGGCCATGTTGGGGATCAAGAACAAAAACATTCTCTCCTCTGTTAAGTAAACTGAACTCCATCTTCATGTGAATATTCTTCGAGAAAAAATTCTAAGGTATTGACACCTAACATGGCCGCCTTGTCACGTGGTTGCAAACCAAGAATATCGAAATTTTGCCAAAAAATGTCTCACATAAGGTCATATGTTACGTTGAGGCCTCAAAAGTATTCCATACCGATCTAAATACATATAAATACAACATCCAAGCAAATTACCTTAGTTGCAGCGTGTACATTCTCGAAGAAAGTAAAATTGTTGTTGTATAATCGACTTGCAGCAAAAAGACCGGCACCCGTAGCGGTAGCTCCAATAACAAAAGGTCCAGCAAAACGGAAATACGAGGCGCTCTCCTTCGACTGAGAAGTAAGTGTCCGCCTAGCTATCGGGGATCTAAACAAACTCAAGGACGAACGAACGAAAGGAGAAACTTTGCTGCGAAACGCCATTTTCGAATTGAACGTGTGAAAGGAGATGTTGGACTGGGTTCGAAAATCGAGCAAGTGTCAGTGGGGGACTCAGTGGGGAGGGGAGACAGCAACAGACTATAGATAGCTACGGATCCAAACAGGAGCGGGTCGAAATAAAACCGCAATTTTTTTTATTTTCTTTGTAAACATATGTAAGTCAAAAAATGAAACATTCAGGTAGTGGCTTACCTTGCATCTCTCACTGTCTCCCTCACAAAACTCGTCGGTAGGATCCAGGGACAAAGCATGTACATTTTGATCCGAAGCATCCACTTTTTCGAGTGCATAAACTGCAATGCAAAGAATGATGATAATGATAGTAGTGGTGAATTTCATTGCTGCAATGTATTAAGTATAAAGCCCGTTCTGTATGCTGGATCCACGCTGAATAATGAATACATCGGGAAAGATTCTCCTTTGGGGACTGGGGGCAAAAAGCGTCGGGGGAGGGGCTGCATTGGGCATGAGGGAGGGGCTGCATTGGCTGCATGCAGTACCTACCTGCACCTGTGGCCCAACCGCCTGGCACGAGGCGGCTTAGACAGTCTACGCGTAGACCGCGAACGGCCGTCCTTCTTTCCTCAGTGAGAGCCACGCGCCGTGAGAGAAAAAGTAAAATAATACAAGAAAAATATAGAAAATCGAGAGAGAATGATCTCTCTTAAGAAAATATGTAGAAAAAATGTTTCATATATTTTTTTCTCCCCACCGCGTCTCGCCTTTCTTGCGTGGGGTGATTTTCACGCGCGCTCGCAATTTGCTTGCTCTACTATCCCTCAGGAAAAATGAGGACTACTCGTAGTCTAGTTCTTTCCCGGTAGAGCAAACCAACCAGACAAATGCCATGCAGGAATTTTAGTCCCGTGATGGGAAAGTTTGTTGAAATTCACTAATATTTGTGTGTTCCTTTGCTGACAGGACTGACATAGGGCTCTATGATATATTCCATTCATTTATTTTTGGGTAAAAGCAGACACGGCGCACCAAAATTATTCTCAACAAATTAGTGATAAAGGGCAACTAACAACGCATCCGAGTCAGAGTTCAAATGCAAGCGCAAGCATATATTTTGGATCAGTAAACAAAAGAATCAAACGAGAGACAGGGGCACCCAACGAGAATATAGTTCAAAACCACTTAAACATAGCATTGTTAAACGTATTTTAGTTTTTAAACGGTAGACATAGGCATGTTTTTATTCCCCCAAAATTTTTCATCTGTTCGGATTTCCTTGCTGAAAACATGTGATCCGAATATTATAGGGATCAAAACTTACCTTTTCGAAAGTTTTAGCCAGAAAAAAGACTCCCGAAAATTCTAGGTGACCTTTATAGGGTAAAAATCCGTTAAAAATGGGCAATTATACCATTTTTTAGACGTTCCAAAATCCTAGGAGAGGTAGGCAAGCAAGAAATTTTAGAAAAAATGTTCCAAAAATTCTACATCTCAAATCGTCTTTCGAACCGATATTTTCCGAAAATTGACGTTGGATGCTCCTGGAGACAGAACCCGAATAACTTTGGGCGTTGCGCAAACTCGTCCGCAGGAGTTTCGCTGGCTTTGGAGGTGAGGTGTGTTGCGCTGCCCAAGCAAAGAAGACGAAAAGGTAACTCACCAATTCATTATACTTTAATTTACTTTAATTTAGTTTAATTGTCTTTCCCTGGCCCTCTGGTGAAGAAAAAAGATTTAAAGTCGTAGTTTAAGCCAGGATGAATGTCTTCTTGACCATGAGCATTTATTTTTCGCAGTGGCAATAAAATGCGCAAGGACAAAGAAAGGCGTCACCTGAAGTAAGTATGGAAAGGATGGACAACTAGCCACGTGTGAGAAGAATCGTGTTGCACGGTAGGTCCGGTACAGTTGGGTTACGTGAGACTGTTCGGGACTGTTCACAGTGCACCTACATAGGGTACCTTCTCTTTGTACTTCAAATAGCTTCAAATATTGTAGATATCACCAATTTAAACGTCTTGTGTTATTGGCATGCTCACTTTGCATGCGCAAAAAAATACCAAAACTTGAGTTGTATGTTATCTAGTAGTTTTCTTTTATTGCGGTGTTTAAAGCCTAGACAAGCCAATCGCCCCCAGCCTTACCTTGCACTGCATCGTTAATTTGAATTGGTAATTGCCACAAACGCACTTCTACAAGCATTTTCGCGAACGGCATGTTGGCCTACATCTTTAGTCAGGTCAGTGTATTTGACGAACTGCAAAAACCCCGCGCACACGATAAAGAAGGCTGAAAAGCTGATAGAATGGATGCATGATTTTTTTCAACCAAGAAAAAAACTTGTCCAATATCCAGCAATCACGCATGTAGGTCCTAGTACCTCCCGATCGTCATACATACTACGTCATTGCCTGAGTTGAGCCTGGGCAAAAATGGTGGAAAGGCCAGTGCTCCCATTGCACTGTGTCACTCTTGCTTCCCTTACAAGGGCCTAAACAACCTTACAAGAAAAGAGAAAAGATCTATTACGAAATTCACTGAATTTATTGCTGCTAGCTACAAGTGAGTAATTACAAATCATTTTTCATAAATATATTTATAGGCTGCAGGAGTCCAGTCCACCAGTTCTTCCTTTTTACTAAACCAAAGAGCAATTTCCTTTTCCGCACTTTCTACTGAGTCACTGCCATGAATAATAGTCCTGAAATGACACACATGACACTCGTCAGGTCAGAAAATTCATGAGTAAAGACAGCCTGCGAATAAACTCGTCTCTGGTCGTCATTGGGACGTCTCTCTAAGGAAACGTTCCAGCGACGAGGAGAGGTTGCTGTATTAGGTGATAGAACAGGCATTCTTCGTGTTTATCAGGCGAGCGAGAGCCAGCGCGAGGCGACAAGGAGCGCGAGGCACGCTGGCCTGCCTCGCGTTTGCCTTCTCTCACCTAAATAAAACCTGTTCTGCAGGCTACGGCTGTATTCGTAGGCTAGAGTAAAGAATAGTGACCTCTTTTTTTTCCACTTATGCAATCCTTCTTAAGGATGGTTTTAGGGAGTAAAAACGAAGTTCTGAACTCAGGAATTCCAAGTAACCCAGGAAATTTTTTTATTTACCAGCTTTTCACAGAGGGAATATGCACGAACGGGACTCAGGTCCTATGTGAGGTATCATCCCTACCCAATCCCACAAACCGTAAAGGTTGGCCGCCTCGCCGGGTCTACGACGCCTACTCTTTTCGAATAGTGATGTGGGTTATTTTACGTCCCACAAGAACAAATCAGTAAAAGTGCTGCGAGGTGGGACCTACGGCCGTGTTTGTCCTTATCCGAGAGACTAGGAAGTCTAACCATTTGCAGATCTCTTTACAAAGGCAGCACTTTCTTCTCAGTTATTTAAAGACCCTCAGTATTGGTCCGGCCGTGGTTTGAACCCACGACCTCCCGCTCAGCGAACCGGCGCTCTCCAAACTAAGTTGACCAGGTGGCGGTTTCTTTCTTTCGTTGCTTAAATTCAGGCAAAAGTAAGTAATCGGAGTCCACCATGAGCTTCTAAATAACAGATCTTTACTTATCACTGAACTGTAGTTAAGAATCACAAAAGATTCTTGTAGCGCAAAAACACCCAACCATTACCTAGGAAAATACATACAGAAGTTTTACCTGGTACTCAACACGAGCGGGGTAAAACCGACTGCCAATAATATTTAGTTGCAAGTAATGAAGGGGACTTTCCACCTTACGTATTCTAAGCTTATTACCACTACATAACTAAAATAAAATTGCCAAAAGAAAACTATTTTTACAAAATTATGATTTCAAAACAACCAAATTTGCTCTAAGCCATTCCGTCACCTCAACCTCGTGTACAGTTCTTTTTTCATTTACTAAAGGAAAAAGCCCTGGGGACAAGGCACGTGTCTTCACCTTTAGATAATGATGTACATTAATTTCTGGGTTTAGAACTTAAGACTATTTGGTCTACTGACTTATTTGGTAAACTGACACTTAAATTAGCAGCCAGTTTCAAAAAAGCACCCCCTCTTATTAGTGTTGGTCCTGTTCAGGCTAGTAATCCTAATTATTAAAAACTGAATCATTAGAGCTCTGATTGGCTTAGCCATCATGGTATATGAGCCATTATACCATGCTCTCCAAATATGGTAACTATACACGTCTGCTAACAATGTTAAAAACAAGCTGAAAATCGGTTGTTTTTACAAATAAAGTCGGGAAGAATTCTCGATATTTTGTGGGCGTTTTTAATAAAACAATTAAATTATTCAAATCGCACTTGTTGGATATGAGTTGATTATAGCCAAGTAAACACTACCCGCCTCGTAGGCTATCTACCATCTCATATCCAATGTGCACTCATGGAATAATATTGTTAACAAGCAACCCCTTCAAATAAGTGCCCCCACGCCTCCGTACTGAATATATAGTGAACATTATGTACCACAGGCATTCCAAACTCACTATGTGAGTGCTTTTAAAAAGTCAACTTTACTGAATTAACTGAACTTTTGAAGGGCTCATATGGAAACAGTTTTATTGTGAAAAAATTTGCCGTATTGGAGCTTGAAATCAAAATGAAAATGAAATACACTTACCCATTCTGTATTTTATGTTCCAGTGTCACTTTGAAGTGATCTGGGCAGGCTTGTGATCCCGTTTTAACCTTCAGTTTAGTCGTTATAATGAAGGTTAACTCAGGATTGTAAAACCAGTGCAAATACGACATTGAAACACAAAACAAAGCATGGGTAAGAGTGTTTCATTTAAAACATTGATAACGTGTTTTTATCAATAAACTTGCCTTTTAATCTCAATACAGTAATCCCAACGGATTGTTCCTGGGTTTGAGTTTGCCTGAAATATGACAAATATACTGGTTTAAAATTTATCAAGCATTTATTCCATGTCCTGTTTGTTGGGACAATCTGTTACCACTATGCCAGGCGAGTATGAATGGCAAAATTGGCAAAATATTTTATTTTAAGCCTTTCCTGTGGAACTAAAGTCGCAAAGTTTGAAGCTGATCGAGCCATATTAAACACAACTTAAAAGATATATGTCAGGAAAGTGACCAGGCTTTGATAGCAATAAACAGAACTTAAATGCATTTCACATGCTCAACAAATTAAAGCCACTAACTCGTCTGTGAAGCGATGCAAAACAGATGTTTTCTTTCCTCAAGGTTTGCTCATATTTTAAAGCTAATGGCCCAGACAGCTTCCATTTTCTCTTAAAGGTACTTCTGCCTTCAAAATTCATCTCTAAAAGCATATCTTGATCTCTAAAATGGCCGCGATAACAACAAGGCAAAGTTTGTGGCAGTTTTGTTCACTTGCTGCTTTGTTGCTAGGCAACTGTGGACACTATACCAAACCGGCAGAAATCAGAAATATAGGCCAAAGCAAGATCACACTTTCCTTAGCTATTCTCGTGGGAATCACATGGGCGCGAATTTCCGACTCTATTATAAACAGTACTATGCAACAGCCTTTGGCCGTTACCAAACCGGCAGAAATCAGAAATGTAGGCCAAAGCAAGATCACACTTTAATTAGCTATTCTTGTGGGAATCACATGGGTGCGAATTTCCGACTTTATTATAAACAGTACTATGCAACAGCCTTTGGCCGTTGGTTCGCAAGGAAATACTGATTGGAAACACTCCAATAATAAATTTTAAATAATATGTACTTAAAAAAGGATGGCTGACAAGAGTAGTATAGACAAGAAATATTGGTACAACACATTAATTCCAAATGTCATTTCAATAAAGATAAATTTAAAAAGTTATCAGCTAGGCCTCAAATTAAACTCACTGGATCTGTCTCCCCAAGCATGACACGTCCAGTTTCCACGACTCCTAGACCTTCCCACACCTAAAAGACATAATTATTTAATTACCAGCTAGTACAATCATAAAAAAGTATTTTTCACTTAGGTTTTACAGAAACTGAAGTGCCTTGCTAGTTCCCATCTTTTGTTCAACTTAGCTTCCACAAAATTGATGCTCTCCGACTCTAATGAGAGGGCTAGCTGGTTATCACTAACCAATAACCGACCTGCAAGTACACTTAAGTCTTTACAAGAACAACCAATTTCTAATATTACCACACGCGGTCCCGAGAAAGTGAGGTCAATAAGTGGTTTATCATATGGCATCCATTTTTCAAGAGAAACGAAACCGGCCTAGCTGGCAGGTGCATCAATATTGACATAACTTCCAGTATTTAGCTCAGCCATTTTTGATGACACAAATAGCATATAACATGCAGTAGAACATTTTTAGTTCAAAAACACTTGTGATATACAGTTTTACAACAATCAAAGTACTTCCATGATAAGAAATAATTCTGTTTGGAAATCATGTAAGAGCAGGTGATTGAAGCTTGATTGTAACCAGGATTTTACAAGCCAGGATCTTTTTATCTTTTGTCTGAAGTTTACAGCTAAAGAGCTAGTAGAATGTTCACATTTGAGTGTCACTGGATTGATATGATCTTTTCTTAAACTCCCTTATAGCCTTAGTGTTTACATATTCTTGTCATCCTGAATATTAGTGAATTGTCAAAATAATATTGTACTCATGTATAATTAGCCATACTCCTCTAACTTTAGTCTGACGTTTTCTGAAAAAAACAACAACAACAAAAAAAACAGAGTGGACTGCTTTAAATTAACCCAAAAAATCTTGTATGTAAGGAATTACACTCATTTTTTTCAGCGAGTCTGAATGAGTTTTAACTTTTCTTCTTGACAAGTTGAGTAGAAAAATAGCAGGATTTTGTTCAGTGAATGTGAATTTTTGCTAAAATTTAGCCTGAGTTTGGTCAAATGTCAATATTCTATATACACTCAAAGCTACGTTCTGCTTTTATTTAAAGTTAGAGAAACTATTAATAATGAAAAAAAGGCTATAATCACTCTGACTATTGCTTAGTCCCAGAAAACTGTTGAGGAGTGGCCAGTGTTTGATCTTCCAAATTTTATCAGGCCAAGATGTTCATAAAAATTATTATTTTATAAGGATTTTGGGGAAGGGGGTTGGGGGTGGTTCAAGTTAGTGCATTTGATAAAGACTAAGCTTAAAAATGTTCTCGGGAGCTTTATAATGGGCCATTTTTTGAGAGGCAGTTAAGGGCCACAAGTGTTCAAATTTGTTCACTACATGTTATGTTACAGCTCACAGAGTTTTATTACCTAGCAATATTATTGGCCTCAATTAAAGATATTGTAATGGCTGCATAATGATATTACCTTACCATGACGACAAGAGGCCCACTAGCCATGTGCTTCACAAGTCCTGGAAAGTATGGCAGATTACCTAGGTCAGCATAATGCTGTCGCAAATGTTCCTCACTTGCCTTGGAAAGAAAAAAAAGGCATAACTGCTCTTCATACAAAATGTAAGGGAAAGCGCAGGGGACTAAAATGTTTATCACCAGCTATAAGGTCAACCTTTGTGGAACCTACAGATAATTTATTGTTTAGAAAATCCTCTTACTCCCTCCAACATCTTTGACCTCAGAGCTTCTGTGTCACTGTATTACAACCACAAATGAAAAACACACCAAATGACCAGCCAAATAACTACCTGCTAGGCACTGGCTGCTACTAGTAGTAAAGAAGTGAACCGCTTTGGAAGCAACCAACTTTTTTGTGCCACATTTTATGATGAAAACTACTGATACAGTGGAACCCCGCTATAACCATCCTCGATATAACAATTTTTCCGGTATAATTAACAATTATTCCATGAGTGCGTGTTGGATATGAGATGGTAGCTAGCCAAGGAGACACGTAGCGCTGAGTTGGCTATAATCATCTCATATCCAGCAAGCACATTGTTATTAAAATTAAATTAAATTAAAATTAAAACTTTAATTAATACTCCCAAAAAAAGGTTTTTCAGTACCTATTTACGAATATAAATGCAAGCTATATCTAACAAGCTAATAATTGTTAATGCTAATTGTCATTCGATCATTCATTCATTACAAGTTTCAGGGCTTTCTTAAAGGATTTTACAGTTGTAGCGTTTCTAAGGTCTTCGTCTAACGTGTTCCACAGGGATACTGCTCTACAGGCGAAGGTACGTTGGCCAGTGGCTGACCTGAATAATGGGCTTTCGAACTTCTCATTATTACGGGTTGTGCGATTATGTACAGAAGATCGTTTTTTGAACTTAGCACATAGGTATTCAGGAGCTCAATTGCTGGCACACTTATAAGCCATAACAGCGTCTCTGAATTTGAGCATCTTGCTAACTGGAAGCCAGTTGAGTTCGTCAAGTAATGGCGTCACGTGGTCATATTTCCAAGCGCCGCAGATAATTTTGCAGGCCAAATTCTGAATAAGTTGCAGCTTTTGGATGTTCTTAGATGAGGTATTAGACCACATGCTCGAACAGTAGAGCATTTTGCTAAAGACAAGAGATGTTATAATTAAAACCAAAGTCTTTCTATCAAAACAATATTTCACGCGGTTGATCTGAACCAGTTTAGTCAAGCAAGAAGAGACTAAGTGGGAGATATGAGTGTCATAGGTCAGGTGTAAATCTATGTATACTCCTAGATCTCTTGATGATTTGACAGCCATAAGAGTCTTTCCAATAAACGAAACAGTAAAATTAACTGAAGGTTTACTTATCATTTTGCTTGGTGCCGATCAACATGAACTTTGTTTTCTCAGGGTTTATTAACAAATCATTTGTGCAACACCAGGTGGCAACATTGCGCAAATCATCTTCGAGCTTGAACTTAGCGTCAATGACATCGGCTACGGGAAAAGATAGCAAAACTTTAGAGTCATCGACGTATGACTCGAGCCGGCAGAATTGAGGAGCGCCAGGCAGGCAGATAATGCACCTTTATGTAATGCCGGCGGGGAGGCAGGGCATGGGTCAGGAGGTCATGAAGGCCAATGAAAACAAGCAAAGGCTGAGTGGATTTCACTGTTTTGTCTTCAAATTTCGTTTGTTTTAGCGTGTTTTTGATCAATTGAACCTCTTAAAATACTGTGGTATCAAAGTAAACGGAAGTAAAGAGAAACCAAGTCGATTTTTGCAAGTACAATTGATTAGTGTATGGCTCATTCGCTACCATCACTGTAAACTTAAAACTGACTTTCTTTTACCCTTTACTAAGAATGGTATATTTAGACTTACAAAATGTGAACTTCCTCCGAAAGGTTTATGCATTCTACGCAGTGTAACACGGATTATGGTTAGAACGTATAATTGCAGCTGTAACAGGAACATGTATCTTTGGTGATGCAGCAACGTTTAAAAAAGATTGCAGAGTTTTATTTGGAGACATTTTTGTTGTGCCTTTCTTAGGTTCTGCCTTGGGATTGACAGCAGTGTGCATTCTGGGGTGGGGAAATTTGGTTGCATTCGACTGGAATGATTTGCCCGTGGGCAGGGAATTACATTGATAGGTGTATACATTACATTGATAGGTGCATAAATACAGAAGAGGAGCGGCAAAAGAATCACTCTGGGGGACTCCGCCTGTGTGATTGGTAATGGATCTGATAGCACAGAATCGATACGCACTGATTGGGTCCGGTCTGAAAGGTAGCTGCGGAACCACTGAACTACGGCGGGTGAGGCACCTACAGCGGAGAGCTTCTGTTTCATTAAAAATACCCACAAAATATAGAGAATTCTTCCCAACTACCGTGTAACATGAAAATTTTGCGGGTTCTAATTTTTGCGAATTTTGCGGATTGACCTCGATCCGCAAAAATTAGTTCCCACAGAAAAAAAACCCACAAAATAAAATGCCGCAAAAATTAACTCCCTTCAGTCAAATTAAAAACTCTGCTTTTAATGGACTTGTTGTGTATGGTAGGGATAGGCTTTTGTTTTGTTTTGCTGTTGTTCAGTCCCTTTGTGCAGTAAGATATTACAGTGATTACCGTATTATTCTCTATTAAATATGTAAGTAGAGTGAACTTTGACTCAACATACTGTAAAATAAAAGTTGAAAATACCATATTAAGGTTTCTTCCTCTTAAATATTCTGCTACTTGAACAGAGAATCGCAAAAATTAGTTCCTACCAGAAATTTCAGTCATCTCCAACCGCAAAAATTTGTTCCTACAAACCACAAAAAATTGCCAATCCACAAAATAAAACTCCCGCAGAATTTTCATGCTACATTATATGGTATATTAATTTTGTAAAACAACTGACTTTCAGCTTGTTTTTAATTTTGAGCAGTCGCATATAGTTACCATATTTGGAGAGCATGGTAGTGGCTCATATACCATCCAATGATCCAGTTTTTAATAGCAATGAATATTCTATGTCCTGGCAAAAGTTATAGTAAAATGTATGGGACAGAACCCAATACAACGATCTTCAATATAATGCTATTCCCAGAATAACGATGAGAGTTTTTCCCAACACAACGATATTAGCCTGCGTAGCAAGCGTTTCCAATCGTCGGAGTTATTGCGCGAAAGTTAGAGCGGGAGCAAAAAAAAGGTGGAAGGGGGAGGAGGAGGGGAGAAGAGGAAATGCTTGCCCGCAAACACCACGATTCTGGAAAATGCCCCTTGATATTTCATGGTTCGGTTGATTTGTAAATTGACAGCTCGTCAAAATAGAAGTATAACTAACAGGTTACCCCTGGATTACCAGATTTGTAAAATTACTTTGCTCTCTAATAGAACACGTTCCAGGCGATTGCAAAAACTGTAATAAAAAAGGTTTACAATAAAAGAAGGTTAAAACGCTGAGCCATTGCTGCGGAATTTCTTGTTTTTTATTGTGTGGCTTTATCTCATCTGAAACCTCGTCGAAACGTCAAAAATGATTTGTCCGGAACAATTCACTCCGCCGGCTATAAGGTTTGCAGAGTGGCTGCTCTTCAGCCCGTGTCGAAACGTTATCTTCAATACATGCCGCTAAATTTCCAATAAACAAAAATAATCTTTTCATTTCAAAAAGCTGATAAATCGCTTGTCCAAGGCGGCTCTAGCTAGCGTTGAGTACCGATGTTCTCATTTACGTTGATGTTATCTCCAACAAAAAGTCCATTTTTTCCAGTCACATCTGTACGCCGTCATTCCCAAGAAATTGGCCTTCCCTAGTCACCACTGCTCTATCTCCAATTATACTTTGAAGATTTGATCTTATAAACCTTCGCACAAACACGATTCGAATAAACATCAGTCCAATGCATTAATTGGAATCTGCAACCACAAATCAGATGAAACCAGATCTGTGACGCACGTAAACAAAGCATACCTGGGGTCATGGGGTTTGTGGGCAAGCGTTTCCTTCATTCCCCTACCCCTACCCCTCCCCCTCCCCCATCATACCTTTTTTTTTGCTCTCATCCCTGCAACTTTCTCGACGAACGCGCAAGGAAATGCTTGCTACGCAGGCTACAACAATATTAATTTATCTGTTCACAGTCACAAATTAAAAAAAACATTAAGCAAAACATACGCTACATGGAATCCTTAAGTTAAAAATGACTTATGAAGGACTATTGCAAGTGTGTCATGTGCAATAATGCATTAAAAAACAATGAACACATGTGAATCTATTAAGATTAGTAATGATTACAATAGTCACAACATCATATGTTTACATTTAGTTTTATTGCACTTGTATGATTCACATGCTGTTTTCTGCTTGTACAATGACTACTCGTCGAACCAACAATAGTTTGGCTGCTCGTTTGGATGGGGAGAATTCGTCATCGGATACCCTTTTGCAGGCCGAGTCGTCTGGTCCTTCGTTGCTCGCTTCTGCGGCAAACTCGGCGCCACAAACCTCTTCCACAGTTTCCGCTCCAGTTGTTGCTGCTGGTGTCCACGATCCCGCTCTAATCGCTGCAATCGTCGACACCGTGAAGGCCTCGTTAGCGGCAGAAAAAGGTCCTGGTTCTAGCTCGAGCAATCTGCTCGGAAATTCTGATAGCGTGGAGCCACAAGCAGCTTTTGGGGGCGTTCCCGCCCCATCGCCCAGCTTGTCACAGCAAACGGCGACCTTTCTAGCTTCTGGAGGCACCTTTCTGCAGCAACAGGCGATATCTTCACCTTCAGCCACGCAAGGTAGGCCTAATTTTATTGTGCCATCCTTTGTTGCCACTTTTGCAACCCCGCGCTCGCCAATTTTAAGCACGTCGATCACAGCGGGCGCTTCTGTCCCGGTTCCACTCAGCGACAGCACCTTGGTTGCCAACCTGCCATCGGGACCGCTACTCCAACAGCCGTTTGTAGTTGGCCCCGGTTTGTCACCAATTCCGGTGAAAACGGTTAGCCAAATTGTTGCCGGCAAGTACGTGGATTTGGGGGATTTGCTGTCAGTCAACATTGTTCAGACTGAGCTGGAATTGCAAGCATTCCTGGATGGGCAGTTAGTGTTTTTGCCAAGTGCTAAAAAGCAACGCCGACGCATCGAGGACATCGTGACCTGGTCCGAAGCCTTTACAATTTTTACGCTGATTCTGACGTCATATTTTCCGCACCGCTGGAAAGATTTAACTTCTTACAAGCTTCTCATTCTGCGCACGTACCGCTAGTTCAGTGGCCGTGTTTGGCTGGCATACGATCAGGCCTCCCGCCAGCACGCTGTGGCGACGAAGCTCGTGGACTGGTCGACCATGAACGTTCAACTTTACAATTTTCATGCTGCTGGGGCCTCTGTGGATTCTGGGTCTGGTGGTTCCTTGAGCGAGCTACCCGAACCATCTGGAGCTGACTCCTCCCAGGTCATTTGCAGGTCGTGGAACAGGGGCCGCTGTTCGGCACAATTTGCTTCGTGTCAGTTTGCCCATCGCTGCAGCACCGCTGCAGGTTCCCACCGTGCGTCAGAATGCTCCCATCGTTTTGACAAAACGTCATCACACGATCGCAAACGCACATCGGCTTCTCCTCCCTCCGTGCCCTCATCCACTTCGAAAACCAGGCGTTAATGGATGTACCTTGTTTGTTTTCCTGATTGTTTTTCTGCCTTGTTTTTTATCTGCGTTGATTGCCTTTAGTTTTTTCTTCATGTTTACTGACCTTGAGTCATCGAATTACTTTTTAAGTTGCGTTACCTAATTTGGTCAACAGTAGCTAGGTCAGGCTGTATTTGCTGCAATAAAGTTGTCAAGTTGTTCAAGGTTTTGTGGTTTGTTGTTCAAAAGTTCTCTCTTTGGTTTGCCCTTCACCCCCTTCCCAGCCTGGTTCGGCCTTATTTTAAAATAGCCTTTTTTCTTCCCAGCTCATCCAGTTCTCCCTCCTGTATCAGCAGTTAGTCCCCTTAAGGTGGAGGAGTTTTCAAAGGAATTGGCCAGTCATCCCGACCAGCAACAAGTTTCTTATGTCCTCCAGGGTCTTCAGCATGGCTTTCGGTTAGGCTTCCACTCAGCTCACAAGCTTAAGCCAGCTAAAAGAAACAAGCCCTCTGCTCTTCACCATGCCCACATTGTTGATGCGTATCTGGCTAATGAAGTCTCTCTGGGCAAGGTTGCAGGCCCCTTCGCCTCCTCCCCTTTTCCTCGTTTGCATATTAGCAGTTTTGGGGTCATTCCTAAGAAGGGCCAGCCAGGCAAATGGCACTTGATAGTCGATTTGTCGTCCCCAGGGGGTGCTAGTGTTAACGACGGCATTGATCCTCAGGATTTTTCTCTCCAGTATAAGGTTGATCAAGTTATTCGCATGGTCTCCCGTTATGGCCCAGGTGCCCTTATGGCAAAATTTGATGTGGAATCCGCTTGTCGGAACATCCCAGTTCATCCAGATGACCGCTTCTTACTGGGCATGAGGTAGCGTGGTCAGTTCTACGTTGACATCTCGCTTCCTTTCGGTCTCCGTTCTGCACCATTTATTTTCAATTCCATAGCTGATATGGTTGAATGGATCCTTCTCCATAAGCATCGCCTTTCCGATCTGTTACATTATTTGGATGACTTTAGTACCGCAGGTCCCCCACAGTCCTTCCAGTGTGCTTATAATCTTAACACAGCAATCTCGGTTTGCCATCGGCTGGGGTTGCCTCTTCACGGTAACAAGTGTGTGGGTCCAGCCACTTCTATGACTATCTTAGGAATTGAATTAGACTCCGTCAACCAAGTGGCCCGTCTTCCTGAGGATAAATTGGTTGCACTAAGGGAACTCATTCATTCGTGGATGCCTCGTCACTGGTGCAGAAAGCGGGAATTGGAGTCCCTTATTGGCCATTAATTTTACACCATGCTGCTAAAGTAGTTTGGCCAGGGAGAGCCTTTCTCCGTCGTTTTATTGATTTACTGTGCTGCTGCCGTAACAAGGACCATCCTGTTCAGATTAACCAGGAATTTCGTCTTGATCTTCAGTGGTGGCAGCAGTTCCTAGCTTCTTGGCATGGCGTTGGGTTCTGGTTGTACCCTGGCATGTCTGCTACCACGGATTTGGAGGTCACTTTGGATGCAGCAGGTGCGGTTGGCTTTGGCGCCTATTCTCAAGGCCAGTGGTTTTATGGTGCCTGGTCAACGGTGCAGGCCAGGCAATCTTTTGCATACCAAGAACTCTTTCCTGTGGTGATTGCTGCTCATCTTTGGGGATCTTTGTGGGCCAGGAAGCATGTCCTTTTTCGCTCAGATAACAAGGCTGTAGTTGCGATTCTCACGACCAGGACTTCGAAGGTTCCAGCTTTAATGCACCTTCTCCGTGATCTTCTGTTCTCGGCGGTGCGTTGGGGTTTTACTTTCACTGCTGCTCATGTTCCTGGAGTCAAGAACAAAATTGCTGATGCTATCTCTCGTTTCCGTTGGCAGGAGTTCAGGCAGCTGGCCCCGGAGGCTCATTCCTGCCCTTGTCCGATTCCGCAGCTCCTGCTGGACAGCTTAACACCTCCTCCCTAGAACAGCTGTGCTTGCATTTCTTGGCCCAGGGTCTGGCTCCTTCCACCCGGAAAGCTTATGCGTCAGGTCAACGCAAGTTCATCGAATTTTGCCGCCAAGCTGGAAAGCTCCACTCCAATGGCTCGCCTTGCCCTGCAGACGAGTGGACTTTATGTTTGTTTGTTTCATTTCTTGCAGATTCGATTCAGCATTCTTCAATTAAAGTTTATTTTTCTGCAGTTCGCTCCTTGAACATTGAGCAAGGTTTTCCTGACCCTCTGCTTAATTGCTTGCAGCTTCAACAGGTGTTGAGAGGGGTCAAGCGTTCCCAGGGTTCCCCAGCTGCTCAGCGCCTTCCGATTACTGACAGCCTTCTCTTGGTCATTCATCGGGCGTTGGACCTCAAGTTTTTCGATCATTGCGCCTTTTGGGCAGCCTGCCTGCTGGGTTATTTTGGTTTTCTCCGTGCTGCTGATTTACAGTCCCCAATTTAGCCAGCTTTTCTCCAGCTATTCATCTTTCAGTGGCTGACATCGCAGTGGATTCGTGCCAGTCACCAACATGCCTCTGTGTTAGGATAAAAGCGTCGAAAACGGATCTGTTCCGTCAAGGCTGCCACATCCATATTGGTTTGGGAAGGGCACCCCTCTGCGCTGTTCACGCTTTGCTGGCATACCTCTCTGTGCGAGGAAATGTCCCTGGCCCCTTGTTCCTTCTTGCAAATGGTCAACCTCTGTCTCGCGCAATCTTGATCGATTGGCTGCGGCAAATTTTCTCTACCGAGGGGATTGAGGGCAATTTCTCCAGCCACAGCTTCCGCATTGGGGCAGCCACAATAGCAGCTCGCAACGGCATTCCTGACCGCCTGATTCAGGCTCTTGGACGTTGGACTAGCAATGCATACCAGCTTTATATTCACACGCCTTCGGAAGCTCTTGCGGGCTTCTCTGGTCAGCTGGCATGACATCGTGTGTCCTTGCCGTTGGTCATCCACAGCTCCTTCTCCACTGCGGTTGAGTTTAGCACCGAATTGCTCGGGGCTTACACTGCAGTTTGTGGGCGTTGCTCTCACTGTCAGCTGCCTTTCATTTGGTAAGTGTGCTTGTTTTTCGATGCAACTGCTGCACTTGGTGCTTGGGGTTGTTGGAGTCGGAGGTTCCATTTCACCCTTTTTCTCTGGCCCCTCCTTTTTCAAGCACCAAGGAGTTCCCGGTTGGGTGGGGGCCGCTCGCAGGGTTGCCATGGATACCTCCTCCTCATGCTAGTGCATTGCCCGGCTCCACCAACTTTGTAGGCACCAACGCCCAAGCTCATCTATTGGTGATGAGTTTAAATGTGGCTAAATGTAATTTAGGCAAAGTTAACCTCGAAGCAATGCTGGTCAGCAGTTTCCCCAGCTATAGTTGGGGTGGCCCGATGCCTCTAGCAGGCGCACCTCGTGACTTATATATGCAGTTGCTTGCTTGCAGTTCTTCGAAAAGTGTTGTTGCAATTGCGTACTGTTTGCGTGCCAGTTTGTGCTTTGGTTTTTCCCATCCCTCCCTCCCTCTTGGTGGGGGCTAGGTAAGTATTGGGTTGGTAAGTATTCCACTGAATTGTTCAGTGTGACGGTGCCTGGTGGGGGCCGCTCGCAGGGTTGCCATGGATACCTCCTCCTCATGCTAGTGCATTGCCCGGCTCCACCAACTTTGTAGGCACCAACGCCCAAGCTCATCTATTGGTGATGAGTTTAACTATGTATAATGAACTTTGAAAACTTCTAGTGCTTTGCACTAGAAGACTGCATGAGTGCTTTAATGTTACAACATAAATTTTTTGAATCATTTGCTGCTCAATTTACAAATTTAATTGAATAATTATGCAGTAAAAAAAGTACACATTAGGTTTACCCTGACAATAACAATATTTTCGGTAATTTTACGGCCATATTGTTATATTGGGAGTCTAGATATAACGCTTCCTCGATCAATAATTATAATAACTTTAACTGTTCCCTTGGTATATCATTATATTGGGGTTCCAGTATAAAAGGTACAGGTTGTATATTTCAAAGCCTTGATAAATTTCCAAGCTTAGTGTGATTACCGGCTATGAGAGCAATTGTATGTGGTTCACTTTAAGTGAAATGATCACAGAGAACTATAATTTATTCCTAACTATAATTTAGTAATTGAACCCAAAGTGAGTGAGAGACACAAAAATTGCGTATCAAAACCCAATGGAATCCTTCTTACCTGCATAAATTTCATTGCTACCAATTTGAACCCTTTTTGCTCAAATCGCTTGATGATGTCTCCAATAAGACCACGCTGGACACCATCAGGCTTCACCATTATTAAGGTTCTTTCAGTCTTATCTAGTTTGTTTTCTACCTAAAAATTGAACAGAGAAACCAAAATTAATGTAATTAGAAATATGTAGACGCTGTAAAAAATACTACCTCATATTTCACAGACAGATGGCAGGGTGCGGAGCAGATGAAGAAGAAAGAGACGGTGTGTTGAAAACACAAATGTAATAACTGATCACAAATGTTTAAATAAAAGTCACAATAATGTAATAATATTTGGTCACAAATGTAATAAAGATGACAACTGAGTAATAATATTTGGTCACAAATGTAACAAAAGCCAACTTAACAAAGTAAGTCACTTGTGTAGACACAAATTAAAGGTATACCTTTACAAACGTACTTATGTGTATGGGAATTAGACCCGGGAGAGAACGAGCTTAGAATTCTCCTGACCAATATTTGGGTATAGGTATGGACCATCATAGGGAGAGCTCCCCCCCTGTACCGCCACCGAAATGATACCCACCATCGAAATGATCTCTGCCACTGAAATGACCCCCAATCACCACCGAAATGATTCCTATTCGCAATCAAAATGATCCCGTCATAAATTTTCGGAACCTTGACTTAAATGGACTTGGGACTTTGCTATCTATTCTAGGTTCTTCGTTTATTCATGCAAACACGATTCTAAACAGAGGAAAATAGAGAAAGCAATTAGACTGATAACAGTTCTATACACTGATTTTATTTTCAAAATTTCAACATTTTTTTAAGGAACTACATAAATCCGCCTTGAACAGGGAACAGGTTTATCATATAACGTGATAACGAGCAGATTACAACTAGTTTTGCGTTAAAAACTTGTGTTAGAGCATGGTGCCGGGCTATAAAATGTCAGTTTTTCCATTCACAATTTTTTCTAAGTAATAAATCTAGACTGCGTAAGATCATTTCGTACGCCAAAGACGATCTTTGAACACGTAAGATGATGACACATGCAAAGTCATGCCGAACAATGTATCAATGAAAAGCGTAAAAAAACATACCTCTTTTTGCTACTCTTCTCCTGATGCACTTGTTATGATAGCAAAGGCAGCCAGGAGCAGAAAAATAATTGTGAATAACAGAATAATTTTCATGATGTTAATGATTTGAGATGACAGCTACAGCAGCTGGTGCAAGTACCGAAACTAATTGGAAAGCACGTGTTGTAATGTGAGCCTGTAACTGACGTCATCACTGTCGTCATGACGTCATCAGGAAGACATAACCTGATGACCTGATTACAAGATTTGACTTATTTTGCTTTAACACAATTTTATTGAGAGGATTTTCTTGCAAAAATACAAAAAAAAATTCGAAGAAATAGAAGACAAATATGAATTTCTTCTTTTGAACAAGTATTGTCTAGTGTTAAACCAAAAAAAAAAAACCAATTTACTGCAAAATAAAGTGCGTTAAAAGGAAAAATACACACCGTAAAAAAGATGCAATATAAATAAATAAAAAGCACCCACTAAATTGTTGTCTAGTTTTTGTAGTCCTCTTAATTCCATTTCCGATATACAGGGGATCATTTTGGTGGTGACCGCCGGTATCATTTCGGTGCTGATTGGGGGCCATTTTGGTGGCGGAGATCATTTCGATGGTGGGGATCATTTTGGTGGCGGTACACCCCCCCTTGGCTTTTTAGCCAGGTAGAATGATCAAAATAAGCCATTTCACAGTTGTAGGCTTAGTGTCCTAGCCTTTGAGTGAATATGAGGCTGAGGTTGACCTTGTTTTGATAAGTTCCTCCTTCTTTGCTTAAAAAATACAAGTTAGCATAAGGAAAACATGATTTACATAATAAAGCAGGAAGGGTTGCACCAAAACAAGGTCAACTCCAGCCTCGTTTCCACCTGTAACTGTAAAATGGGCTATTGCTATTAAAAGCATTTGGTGGACTAAAAAAGGGGCCATAATTACCTCTTTGTCAGGCAACCCGTGAATATAAACGCCACCTTTGAAGTAACAACGTTATGCGCACTAGGTGATGTGTAGTGCAAGTATTCTCTCAGGACATTTCATTGGGTCATACATAATACGTGAACTACTGACCACTCTCGGTCCTACTCAAAATAGAAATAATGCTATCTACCGGGTAAAACACTATTTGGTGGCTCAGTTGTTACTTGGAATGATCCAGAGAATAGCACACTTCCAGAAGAACTACAAGTAGAATCTTAGTTGAGAGTGCAAAAGAGTAAGACTACCATGAGTATCGAAATTTTGAGGCCAACAAACGTCCCACCGTAAACATAATGTTATGTTGAGGCCACAAAAGTATTCCATACCGATATAAATACATATAAATACAACATCCAAGCAAATTACCTTAGTTGCAGCATGTACATTCCCGAAGAAAGTAAAATTGTTGTTGTATAATCGACTTGCAGCAAAATGGCCGGCACACGCAGCGGTAGCCCCAATAACAAAAGGTCCAGCAAAACGGAAATACCAGGCGCTCTGCTTAGGCTGAGAAGTAAGTGTTCGTGTCCGCCTGACTATCGGGGATCTGAACACAGCAAAGAAAGAACGAACGTCAACGATACGAGAAAATTTGCTGCGAAACGCCATTTCTTGCTGTTGGGACTGGGTTCGAAAATCAAACTGGTGTCAGTGGGGAGGGGAGAGAGCAACGCGAGCTCCTCAGCCAAAACTTTGTTTACACGTTTACGCAGGCTAAACATGAATCCGAAATATTTTTTCTTTAATAGCCTGCTCCAGGTATTCCGATCGTTGGGACGGCGTGAAGAGATGTGAGAAGAAAAAACAGCAATCGGGGTGGGGTAGGGGATAAGAGCGACGCTCAACAGTCCACTATCTGACGGCAACAGGCTCTATTCTCCTCTTGGTTTGTTTTCCTGTCGTCAATTTTTCCCCTGCGTTCGACTGTCTGAACAGGCTACTTTTCCTTAACAGACTTTTTCTTTGTAAATATAAATATTTGCCAGTCAAATTCTCCAGGATTATCCGGGAGTCTCCCGGATACTGACTGAATCAAATTCGACGTCTGAAACCCAACCTCGTCGCCCCACGAGGTTGTCTGAAACCAATTTTTGTTAGGAGCAAGGGACTGGCAAGATATGTTCGCCCAAAAAGGAAGTTTTCTTTATATCGGGTTGTTTTCCAAAGTTTACCCGGTATAAGTCGAGAGATCCGACAATTCGTGCCAAGTGATTGCCTACAAGGGAATAAAGACGATGGAAATCATTCCTCCCCCCCCCCACCCCGCCCCCGCTACAAATGCATGGAACGCGGGTTGCTCACAAGAGGTGATTGTTTACGAGAGGTCCAACTGTTAACCGAGGAGGCTCCATTGGGAGGTGGTCGCACATGTGTGTAAAATTTCTCATCCTAATAACAACTATTGTTGTCAAGTTCTCGCCCGACTCGGCACGTCATTGAACCAATCAAACGTCAGGATTTTAGAGGCTAGGGGGTAGGTATGTTGGTGCTTCTATGTAATCAATATATTCATAGAATCTCTTTCATTTAAATTCACTTTTTGCGTGTTTCTTTGCTGACATAACTGACATAGGATCCTATGATATATTACATTAAATTATTTGGATAAATTTAGGTTTCTGAGAAACTGCCCACCTACCCCTCCCCTAAGCCAACATTTTGCCCTAAGTGAGAACTAAGTGTTAATGTCAGCTTAGGGAAGGGGTAGGTGGGCTGTTTCCCAGAAACCTAAATTGATCCAGCTATTTTGGGGTAAAAGCAGACACGGCGCACCAAAATTATTCTCAACAAATTAATGATAAAGGGCAACTAACAACGCATCCAAGTCAGAGTTCAACTGCGAGCATATTTTGGATCAGTAAACAAAAGAATCAGAGAGAATTGTGAGTTGCGCTGCCCAAGAAAAGATGAAAAAAAGGTAACTCAATAATTCATTACGCTATAATTTACTTTAATTTAGTTTAGTTGTCTTTGCCTGGCCCCCTGGTGTAGAAAAACCATGTCAAAAAGTTGTAAGTTAAGCCAGAACGATTATCTTTTTGATCCGATAGGTACAGCTGTATCCATTTTTGTCAATGATTTTAATACGCAAAGAACACGAAATGTCACCTGCATGAGTAAGGGTAGAATTCCACTGTCGCGTAATTTTTACGTGTGTACGTCCTGTGTACGTGCGTAAAATTGACGCGGGTAAACAAGAATGTTGTTTTTCCAGCCCAGGCTGAATATTCTTATTTTTCTACCGATTTTAGGCTGAAAATATTCTTGCATTATTCTTAAATTGTAGCCTGTGACTTTTCCGTTGGGGTATGATAATTGCAGTTTAAATGGCGGTGGCACGCTGTTTTTCTTTTTGGTGGCTAGTTTTGCCGTTAAGACTTAGGAATAATTTCATGGTTAAGTTAAAAATTGTATTGAATTTACAGAATTTCAGCGCTCAAAATTATATGCCGTCGTTTTCAGCCTTAGGTTTATGTTTATCATACTGTAAGACTTTGTGAATTTCGGCGTTTAAAGCCTAGACAAACCAATCGCACCCCAGCCTTACCTAGCAATGCATCGTTAATTACCGAGGACCGCATCTTGGCCTACATCTTTAGTCATTTGACGAACTGCCAAAACCCAGCGCTCACGATTTTAAGAGGGCTGAATAAAATGAATGCGTGATATTTTCTAACCAAGAAAAAAAGTTGTCCAATATCCAGTATTAAAAAATTTAATCACACATGTCGGCCCTACCCCACCATAGATAAATGTTAAATAACTCAAGAAACAAAAAATAAATAGAAAACTAAATAACTTTAATATAAAAAGAAGAAATCCTTTCACGCTTTCACAATGAAGGTCCAGAGTATGTATTACTTGTTTCCACTCAAAAAGGCAAACCGGCAAGAAAATTGCAACAAGACTAAACAAGACCTGGGAAAATATCTATTTTGTACGACTCAGCGAAAAACATAGTTTTCCCCCTGATCCTGTTCTAAGTCTCACTAACTACAAAAGATAGATCAGCCAAAAAAAAGTAACTCAGAGGCAACGTCTTGTAACTACTATTTAGTGCTAGCTCGAGTTTTAATATCATACATTTTTAGGCAAGTGAACGAACTCAGTCTTGTCAGTGTACGTGGTATGGAAACACCGTAGACGGGAAATAAATTCCGGAAACGATATACTCAATCAGAGCGGCGGGGCGGGAAGTTAACAACTGAACAGGAAGATATGGGAGCCAAAACAAGTGCTGTTTTATAAACGGAATTTTCCCGCAGAGATTTGTGGACCTAGCTAATTCGTGTCTTTCCGAACTATGACCTGTAAATATCAGGAAGACGAAACAATTATCGCTTATCAAAATTTAATGTCAGAAACGAAATTGCATTGTGCTCATCCAGCTTAAATTCTTGGTCTTTCCTCATAGCTTGCGATCCGAATAGTCTAATACCGGAAAGTTTTAATAGGAAAGAGTCCGAAATAAAAAACGGTTTAAGCAGTTTAACTGAGGAATGTCTGAGATCATACCGTAAATCCTCTATTAAGCCCCCTCCCTCTAATGAGCCCAGCCTTTTCAGGGGAAGAAAGTTAATAACCCCCTATCCCCTCCCCTAATTATTCTTTACTGATAAATGATAGACTGTATTAATCAATCACGTCTGTAAAACTTCGTGTGGGCTGATCCCGAGTGGTTCTGCTGATTTACCAACTTGAAGTTCGGATTTGATTTCGGCTGCATGACCATCAACCTTCTTGTTCTTGAGCTTTTTCACTTTGTATTTCTTTATGGAGAACTGATACCATCGTCTTTTCTAAATAAACCCCCCTCTCAAATAAGCTTCCCGTCTCTTTTAAGCCCCCCCTAACATGGGTTTAAAATAAATAAGCTCGGGGGGGCTTAATAGAGGATTTACGGTATGTGTGCTTGGGTCTCTCGGGAGCCAGAGGAAGCGCTGAAACCAGACCATTTACTAGTAAAATTATCTCACGAAATATTTTTGTGCAATCTTTTTGTTGGGCAGGGATATAGATAATCCAGAAACTAAAAATGTGACAAAAAGGAAAAGCATATAAAAATAGACCAGCATATATGAATGGTTTTCGTTTATTGCTGACCGTGATGCGGATGTCAGAAAAGGTCTGTAAATCTCTCATGGGCTTGAAGTAGGCATTGAAAAACAAACGCTATAGTAGATTCTTCGCAACGTCTGTTAGATCTGAATCAGGAAATCGGTGACGAATTTTTCAACTTTCCGGGAAACAAATTTAGTCAAAAGTTTCTGTACGTTGCAGTTTGTGTTTTGAAAACCCGCTGCAGTCAGATTATATTAGGTGGGATTGACGTTGCAGTGAGGGTTGTGTTCTAGTTCTTCCGTATGTACGTATTGACTTTTCCGCGAATCAATTCTATTTCGCCTTAACGAAACACAAAAGGGCAGTCTGCGAAGTGAAATTTCAGACACTAACCCATTTTTAACACAATTCACAGTAATTCAAAAAACAAAAACTACTTTGTCAGGAGCCGGTACCTTGTCAGTAAAGAATGATGCATCGCGCACAGAAACTTTAATTCCACAAAGGAACTCTTTCTACGAGGAAAATGTGTCTAAACTGCGGAATGTGATAATTGTTCTTTTTTCGGCTTGAATAGTTGCGTGTTTATGCGGTTACTGGTTAGTTAAGATGTTTATTTTTTGTGGTTGATAAGGGTGTACTATTTATATAATTATTGAATGATCAATCGTCTGCTTTATTGTTAGTAATTTCATTACATACTTAATATGGAATGTGCTCGTGTTCAGCAATTATATCACGCAGCATTCAGCGAGTTTAATGTTTTATTTTAACAAAGAAAAGAAATATTTACACTGAGCTGAAAAAGACTGTCTGTACAAGGAAGTCGTCGTCCATCCGGCGTTAATCAGAAAACAAATGGAGTTAATCTATTGGTATGTTCAAATGGTTTCGACAAAAACTTATCATACCTAGTCACTTACAAATCATTTGCCCTTTTTTCTCACCCATGCAGAATGCCTTTGTTACCGTTTGTGATTCATATTCTCAGAAAAAAATTGACGCCAGTAGAGCCCAGTACTACCGAGTTTTCTCGGTCATTTGTGTTCACTGGCGTCAGGTCTTGTGTTATGTTTAAACACGAACATCAGTGTTTTATCTTTGGTTAAAAATCAAAGCGAAACAGCACCTGTTCTTTCACTGGTTAAAAATTCGAACGCGAAAGGAGTGACGTATGTGCATCTGAAAGTAACAACAACAACTTTACTGACTTTATCTTCGACATGAAGACTTCAGTACGAAAACAATAACAAATGAAAAAAGTAAAATACAAGTTAAGAAAGGAAGAAAGGAACAACAATTGTATATTGAATATTATCATAAAAGAAAAATTACTTGGCTATGTACGGCTTCCACGCTCCCCTTATGGTAAGAAAGTTAAATGAGGGTGCTAATGGGGGTACCCAATTCTCAGTCACCTACTAATTTTTCGGCCAAATATCAGTTAACTACTATTTTTTGGCCAATTCTCAGTTAACTACTAATTTTGGTTAGCTATTAACTTTCACTTTGCTACAGCAAATCTTATTCTGCCATAACCCGAATTTTCT